GCGTTTCTGCCTTCCTGCAGTTATAGCAGGTCAGAAGTAAACGGATCTTAGAGATGATACTGTCCTACAGCTCATCTTACAGATGGGGTAACCAAGTGCAGGGAAAAAGAGGCGCTTGTCCCCTCGTCACCTGATGATAAGAACCAGACTTTCCTAGCATTTCTTCCATCGTTTTTGACCTCATCAGCCTCCGTCACTGAAGGTCGGTCTGAGATTTTGCTACACCTGTTAATGGTGAACATAATTTTGAGGCTGCCTGCTTAGACCCACACATAGACTCATTCACTCTGTGTGTGTGTGTGTGTGTGTGTGTGTGTGTGTGTGTGTATGAGATTTGCCTCCAGATTCACAAGCCCGACACATTTGGTTGAGATTAATGTTGTCCTTCAACATGAGAGTAGATGGATACATTTCTATACCTTGGTGAAAATGCTATTTGTGCTGGCCTGAGAAGCAGCGTATTTCCCTCATTTACTGTGTGTGTGGCATTGCACATGATGGCATCCAGGCCCAGTACAAGATCTTAAAGAGAAGCCCCATGACCCACATCCACAGACAGTGCTCCGAGTAGGGGCCTGGCCCAGTTGCCCATGCTGCAAAGGCCTTGGAAACTTAAGTCTGAGATGTGCAGGGTTGCTGCCTGCCACCATCCCCTCACCCCTAGTGGCACCCAGCGCCACATCTCAATGCACCACACTCTAAGCCTAAGGATCTGCCCTGGAGCACTTCCCAGAGACCCCAATACCTGGAATAGATTGTAAAATGTAGGTCTTGAGCTTCCCCGGATTTTCAGCAGGCAAATTGCAGTGCCAGCATCCCATCACAGGTCACAGGCTTTCCTAATGCTTGGCTTTTCCCAGATTCACTGAAAGTAGTTTTTACATTTATATTAAAAGTAAACTTCTCTAACAAAGCTCTAACATTGCAGTTTCCTGGCATATGTCGGGGAAGAGGCTTCACAGCTTATCTGTGTGTAGAGGGCCCCCGGAGCTTATTTCTAAGTAGGGGACTGGCACTTGTCGGCGATGTAGGGAGGTCTGAGGGGTCTGCCTGTGCCCCTGAGAAGGCCTCGCCCTTTGTCAGCAATCAAGAGTCCCTGCTGAAGGGGACAAGGCCATCACCTAAATGGGCCAACCGCAGTGCCATGGAAGCCAGCTGGAAGAAGCCCACGTAGTCCAGTGATTCGCCCATGATTTTACCTACATGAGTTTTTATGACTCTTTGTGTTTAGATTTTTATAAAAGCCCAGTCGTCACCAGTGCAGCTTGATTTTCATACTGTCCTGGGTCACTGGGCTGATATCCTGGAAGTAATTTGGTTGTATGTCGCATTTTGAGGGTTAATAAAGGTCATCAGAATAGTAAACCAGCACTGGTAGATAATAGACTTGTTTGGCTCTTTGGAACTTTTTGATTTGTGGATTTTTAAGTATATAACACCAAAATGTATACCAGTATATTTCAGTTTGTACTGAAACCACAGTACATACTTGATGGTGAGTGGAAGTCAGGAGAGAGTTCTCAGTCTTAGCTGTACGCTCCAAGGCAAGTTGGCCTGTTCTCTCCTCTGAGAAATCCGAGTTCGCTCATGTACTCTCAGAAGCCCCTTCTGGTTCTAACGTTCTATGATTCTTCTGTCCTTATTTTTAAAAACATAGATGAGATCCTATTGGGGCTAAAGGAAGGGAAAGTCATATCAATTTATTAACATTATAAAAAGAATGCCTAGTGGAAATGAAGGGTAAAATGTTTTAATAAATGAGGTCTTTGTTATACCCACTGAGGCTGATCTTTTCAAATACTTTTGAAAAAGGGAATGCTCTCTGTCTGCAATAGGCAGTAAGTGGCTGGAGAAGATAGGCTGCCAGTGCCCTGGCAGAGCGTGTTCTCTCCACCCAGATTTAGGGGCTGGGTCAAGGTCTGTTTCCAGGACAAAATGAGGTCTCCAATTTCTAGCATAGGCACTGTCCTCTTCCTTTTCCATCTGCCTCCACTCCTCCTCAGCCCTGGTGGCATCTTTCTGGGATACATTTATTTCTTATGTGCCTGTGGCTCTTCACGCATCAAACAGTGATGACAGGAGAAGTTGCTGAGCCTCAAATGGCAAAGTCAGACAATAACTCAGTTTAAGACAGAGAAGATATAAACCAACAGTGATGGCCAAAGCTGATTCGGAGGTGTGGAAGATTGCTCACGCTAGATGCGTCATTGCAATGATGAAAGTGGCCAGGGTAAAGTGACTCTGGCTTGGTCACTTTGCTTCTGGGGAGCTCCAGAGCTTTTCTGAGGTGATGGAGTTAACATGTGTGGGCCTCATGGATCATCCAGCCCTGGGGACTGGATGCAGCACTCTGCATGCCTCATGTCATTCTTACCTTTTACAGATGAGGAAATGGAGAGGTGTACAGAAGTCAGGTCACAAACGTGGGATGAAACTTAGAACCTGTGCACCTGCTCTCAGCCATCATCCCAACCCAGTTGAAGGACGGAGTCAGCTCAGAGAGCAGGAGAACCCTGCCTCACCCTCAGTGGAGCCCTGGCACATTGCTGTGAGACTATCTTCCCCTTTTTCTTGCCTTCTGGGGAGTTCAGTTTTGTTTCCTGTTTTGCCCCACGGTTAGCCTAGGAAGCAACTAGAGCATTTCATACACTAATAGTTGACATAGAGCCAGAAATGCTAAACTGATGACCCCATTCCCATAGGAAATATGTAACTTATCTGTTTCAATCAGATTGCTTCTAAAATGAAGCTTTAGGATTAAAATGGGGCAACTGTGCCAATATCTGCATAAGACATGACTGCAGAGATTAGAAAACCCCAAAGACTTAGTCTGTTCAGAAGCTTGTTCTTTTGGAAATAATGACTGATGTTCCAACATGATTAATAGTACACCTATGAGACAGCAAACTGTTAAAGAAGGAAACGATCCTCAAGATCGTGGAGTTCACACCACCATTGAAGAGACAGGAAAGTGAAGGCTCGAGAGAGGTGGCCCATTGCCCAGGAGGCTCAGAAGACAGAACCAGCCTGTGGGTTGCCCGCGTCATACTGCCCTCCGCTCCTGGTCCCATCGGTCGCTGCAGTAACCACCAAGGAAGATGCTGCACAGTGCCGACTCATGGTCCGATGTGAAAAGGGTCCCACTGTGACTTTCTTTGGTGGACTTTACAATCTCCTTGTCTTTCTGCTGAATCAGAGTGAGGAACAGTTGAGGAGAATTGCATGAATAGCTTCTTGTGTGTCTGTGTGTGTTAGTGGAGGTTTTTTTTTTTAAGGGTTTTCTATGATTAGATTCAGGTTTTTTTGTTGTTGTTGTCCAGTTTTTGTTTGCTCTTGCATGAAGTAATGAAAAAGTAAATCAAGGTTTGCAATTGGTTTCTTTTGACTTAGGAAAAAAGAAAATTATTCTGTGAGAGTACTGGCAATGTAATGAGAGTCTGTGATTTACTCACTTGGTCTTTGCTTTTGACACCTTTGCCTCAGCGTTCCTGGGCATGGCTGCGGAGGCTCCTGCGCAGGCAGGCTCAGTTCCTTGGGTACTTACAAGAGGAGCAGATCAGGGATCTTCTCTGGTATCCTCAAAAAACTTACTTCTAAGTTTTTTGAGGACAGACGTTCCACCTCTATCCCTGCCATTACCTTCATGGAGTCTGGCATGAGCAAGGCAGGCAGGACACAGCCCCCTGTGCAGAACTGCCTAATCCAGCTCCTTTCCCCCCAGCCTGGGCTGGGCCTCGGGATCTTCACCATCACGCTTCCTGCCCACTTCCTGTATTTGCAGATAAAACTTGAGCCGTCCTTGCTAAGGGGACCCATGTGGGCACAGCCCATGGGCCAAGCTTTACTGGTGATGCCGTAAGGTCCATAAAAACAGTTGCTAGGGTTCAGAGCCATGCCTCAGGAAACAGGAAGTGTGTTTGCATTCTCTTCGATTGCTTCCTCTCTTACCTCTGCCCTCAAGAAGAATTAGTCATTCTTCACTCCGAAACGTCCTGCACGGACCCCTGAGGTAGCTCTCTTCACAGCTGACGGAAGTGAGGTGGAGGCTGCCTGCCCCTCACCCCTGCCCCAGGTGGGCAGTGCTGTGTGTCCTCTTTGTGCCCCCACCCTCTCCAGCATGTGTTCATGGTGTTTATGGGGTTGAATTAAGTAGATGATAAAAGACACTCATGCACCAGATGGTGGCCCTGGGTGGCCCCTGGACCTCCACACGCTAGTGGGTGCATTTTTACGTTTTCTCTACTTCCACTCATGATTCTGCCATGGAGAAGTGGGTCGGGCCCAGAGACCCCAGTCACAATGGGACCAGAGTCAACCTTGCTCTCGGGTCACAGGTTGACAAAAACCTTCTCCCACCAGTAAGACTATGTAGTTCCTTGGCACTCTAGTGCCAGCTTACTGGGTAAGCACTTTCTGTGTATTAGCTTCACAAGCTCAGCAGAACTTCAGCATCAGTTACGATAGCAAAAAATAGAGTTCTTTAAAAAATGTTGTGCATGGTACCTTCATACACTGCCTACCCCATTCACAATAGCTCTTCTCCTTCAGCATATTTAAGATGATTGACTCATGAAATGTTAGGGTTACTCACAGATATTCTTTGTGCACCTTTTGGGGCAAGCAAAGATGTACCCGTAAAGTACATTTTGGTGGCTTCTCAGTGTGATCCCAGAGATGAGGAGGATAAACTGGTGCCAGACCCAGCCACAGGATTCACTTTGATCCCTTGGCTTCCTTTCTCGGGAAATGTCGGAGTGGATAGAATTTCCTCCTGGAGGGGGACTCTGTGCTTTCCCTACAGGCCATAGGTGCAGAAGCTCACGTGCGGTGGAGATGCCTGGCTCCCTGGCATTCCCATAACCCAGCTGAGCCCCTGAAGGCCCTAGTTGCCCTCCTCCCAGGTTCCTGAGGTCTGTCTGGTGGCAGAGGCTCCCGCCTGGCCTGCTCCCTGGTGTGCAGCATGCCCTGTATGCTCTCTGAAGCCCATCTTCCCCCCACAGCTAGCATGCCCACCAGCGAGACTGAGTCTGTGAACACAGAGAACGTAAGCGGCGAAGCCGAGACGCGAGGCTGCTGTAGAAGTCTCTGGTGAGTGTGGGCAGCACCCGCCCTCCCTCCCCTCCTGTTGTCTCAGAGAAGCAGGTGGCAAGGAAGACAGTCCAGGCTGCAGCAGAGTCCCGGGGCCATCACCTTGGGTGTGGCAGGCAGGAAGCCTCCTCGTACCCCTCAGCAGCATGCTTCCTCCAGTGCCAGGGCATTCCCACCCCCTCCACTGGCATTTCACATGCCTCTTCCTGTACATAGAGCCCATGAAGAGTGTGGTGGTTAACATGGCCACCTGCTGTGTCCATTAGGTGCTGGTGGAGACGGAGAGGCGCGACCAAGGCGGGGCCCTCTGGGTGTCGGCGGTGGGGGTAAAGGCCTGATTCTCCTTCCAGCCTGGGTTTGGCATTTGTGCTTTTGAAGAAGAGCTTATGTGGCAGAGTTGCTGACTAGAATGTGCTACATATTCAAGTTTTCCTTTGCTCGTGGCACCTTCCTAACCTCAGGCCTGGTGGTTGGATGACGAGGCCCTGCCTTCTCCGTGCCTGGCACTTTTTCCCTGGAGCCCTGCACCAGCCTCTCCTCATGATGGAAGGCGCCATTGCATTAACACTCACTGGCTTTTCTGTAGATGATTTGGGCTGCAGTCGCTGGCAGGGATCTGGGGGGACCAGCAGTGCAGAATGTGCTGGGCACTGCCTGCCGTGGGGAGCCCTGTGTGGCTTGGTTTTGTTTGCTTCTTGCTGATATCCTTCAGGTTTTATCTCTGTAAAGTGCAGGTGTCATTTTTAAGAGAACTCCATCTTTCTCTTGGCAGAGTTTCATAAAAATGATGTGTTATGGGCAGAATATGCAGCCATTTGTGAAGCGATTTTGCCTCCATTCTCTTGCTCTGCCCTCTCTGAGACACCATGAAGCAGACAGAGAATGGGTTTGTCATCCCCATCTTATGGATGAGAACGCTGAGGCCCAAGAAGATATGCTGCTTTCCCATAATCACCCAGTAGGAGAATGGCAGTGCTGGGATTCCTTGTGCAGTAGTAGAAGCAAATGCTGCTGTCAAGATGAGTGGCAGGAGACACTCTGCTGCCTTCATTTTGGCCCCTGCATCACTGCCTGCTGCCAGGGACTACAGGGTATCTGGCTGAGTCTTCCCACCTGGGCCTTGAGGGGGCTCAGCCTGCTCCTGTGGCCCTGGCAGCACCCAGATTTCTGCTCTGGCCTTGCCCCTGCTATCCTGCTGTGGTAACCAGGGGTGCTAAGTCCAGGCTGTATGCATGGCTTTTATGATATCTCAGCTGCAGTGATGGGGAGCAGGTGCTCAAACCATCACAACCAGTCTTAACACTTTTTGTCTTTCTTTCAGTCAAGCCATCTCAAAATCCAAACTCAGGTCAGTATCTTCTCTTTCTTTCTTTCTTTGTTAGCCTGTGTGTTGCCTTTGTATGTTCTCAATTCTGAGTTTTACATAGAATTGCTCTGGACTTGAGTTTTCCTCTATGGGTTATAACATTGATACTGAATTGCAGTCAGTCAGTTGAATCCTATGAGCCTGCCTTAGGGGACAGTGTAATAGGTGCTAAAGATCTCCCTCAAAACAAACCAACAAGACCCAGTAAAGATTTTTGCCTCCCCATTAATCTCCTTGTTCTCTGAGTCATTTCCCTAAGAGAGCTGCTGCTCAGAAGCATCCCAGAGAAAGGGAGTTGAAGAAGCCTCCCAAGGTACTAGCATTGCTTGATGTGCATGCAGGTTACATTTTCAGCTGGTACTACTCATTGAACCATATACCTATGATTTGTGTACTTTTCCATCTGAGTGTTATTTTTCAACAAAAACATTTTCCTACTGTATATAAACATTGACTTAAAATAGACAAAGACCTAAAGATAAAATACAAAATCATGAACATTCTAGAAGGAAACATAGGAAGTCTTTGTGACCTTGAGTTAGGAAAAGGTTTCTTAAGATACAACACCCAGTATACTTTCTGTAACAGAAGAAAACAGACACATTGGTCTTCACTAAAATTAAACTTCTGTTCTTCAAAAGAAAATAAAAAAGAAAGCTTCAGACTTAGAAATATTTGCAAAGCACATTTGATAAAGGACTGGTATCCCATCTGTAAAAAGATTAATACATAAATAAGAGTGCCAATAATAGAAAAACCCAATTAAAAATGGGCAAAACATTTTAATTGGCATTTCACCAGAGAAAGGATGTGGATGGCAAATAAGCACATGAAATGACCATCAATTGTTACAAAAATGCACGGTAAAATCACAGTTACCACTACACACCTGTTAGAGTGGCTCAGCTTTAAATATCTGACAATGCCAAGGATGCTGATTGGTGGGAACTTTCATATAATGCTGGTGGACTTGTCAGATGACATAGCCGTTAAAAACATAGGTTGATAGTTCCTCATAAAGTTTAAACATATATTTACTGTATTTATATTTGGCCCAGCCATCCCATTTCTAAGGTGTTAGTATAAGAGAAATGAAGATATATACCTGCATACAAAGTTTTAACATGAATGTGTATAGTGGTTTTGTTCGTACTTACCCCAAGCTGGAAATAACGCAAACGTCCATCAAGTATGAATGGGTAGACACACTTTGGTTCACCCATATGATAGAATATTGCTTAGCAACAAGAAGGAGAAAACTGCTGAGACTTGGAGCAATGCAGATGAATCTTGGTAGCATTTTTGCTAAGTGAAAGAAGCCAGTCTCAAAAGGCTACATAGTGTACAACTCTGCTTATATGACATTCCAAATAAAACAATAGGGACAGGGCAGATCAGTCCCTGTCTGGGGTGGGGGGTGAGGTTGGTGGACTGACTACAGAGAGCCATGAGGGAACTTCTTTGAATGATAGAAATTTTCTGCATCTCAATTGTGTACACCTAAAAAGTGTAAATTTTACCGTATGTAAATTATATCTCAGTGAATCTGACTTTAGAAACAAAAGGGCCAGGCATAGTAGCTCACACCTGTACTCCCAGCACTTTGGGAGGCCAAGCAGGAGGATCACTTGAGCTCTGAAGTTCATAACGGGCCTGGGTAACATAGTGAGACCTTGTCCCTACCCAACAAAGCCAAACAATTAAAATGCCTTCTATGGCTTCCTGTTGCCAAGGTGGGCATAATGCCCCCATCACCTGGCTCTGCTTACCCTCAGCCTCATCCCTTGACCTTCCTCCCATATGCCTATGTTGTAGCTAACCTGGGCTGTCTTAGTTTCAGAGTGCCACACGCTGTTTCTTCCTGCTTTGTCCCTGTGGCCCTGTGGTCTCCTTGGGGTAGAGTGCCCTTCCCTCTGCCCCCTGAGTAACTCTTACTCATGGATCAAGATCCAGCCCAAATATCTACTTTTCAGAGAAGCCTTCCCTGACTCTTCCAAAGAGTATTTGTGGCTCCTTTCTCTTTGCTCCTGTACCCTGCACCCTGAGAATAGCACTTAGTGTGGATTTGCAGTCAGTATTTACAACAACCCTGTATACTTTACAGGACCAGGGACCCTGGAACCTTGCCTTCTTCATTTTCATCCACCCAGTGCCTGGCACAGAGTCAGTGCTCAGTAATGCTGGTCTCATGAACAGGCCGGGCCACTAGGCACTAAGAGCCCGGCAAGGGGCAAGATGGGGAGTGCTACAGGATTCCAGGGGATGAGACAGTGAGGCTTCTGGGTTTGAGAGACCCTTGCGCCTTGTCACCACAGCATACAACAGACCCACCAGGGCTGGGTCTTTTTCAGGCCACTTAGTTTGCGTGTGCTGAGTTAATGCATCCCAGGAGAAACCCAGCTGTGAGCGGGATAGTCTTTAGTGTCCTTAGTAGAGTTTTTCCATGCTACCCAACATGTTAGAAGCTGCTCTTTCCATTGGAAACTGCACAGCAAGAGCAGTAATAAAATGCACCTTGCGAGATCCAGGTTTTGGTAAAGAATTGGCACAACTCTCTGCTCACTTTCTGGGTTGCAGATTGTTTTTTTCTGCCTAGCAACACAGCTGAGTCAGCCAGGCTGCAGCTTGGGCAGCCTGGAGATTCCTCTTGACTCTAGCCTCCAGAGGAAGGGCCCCATTGTAGTCAGTGAGGCAGCGCAGCCTGGAGACCACTGACTTCACCAATCTGCTGGCCCTTTCCTGGGATCTGGGTCGCTGAGCTGCTGCTCATGGCATTCTTTACCAAATCACCCCCTTGTGGCAGGGAAGGTTTTCCAGAAGCAGACAGGCTAAGGGAGAGAACATGTCCTCTAATCACAGACAGGAACTGAAGGTAGGTGGAGGACATGCTACTTGTCTGTTTGGCTCAGCTCATTTTATTTTTGTGAAAACACGATTCAATATTGGCTCTTCTCCTGAAGGTATATTTTGAGCATCACTAGTTAGAAAGGGCACCTGATGACTCAGTATGAAGTCTCATGTCCTACTCAGCTTTGACAACTCTGCCAGGCTCTGGAGGAACCTCAGAGATTTAAGAAAGGATTAGAATATTCCCTTTAAAAAACTAGCTTTGTAGCACTTTGCTGCCTGGTAAATTCTGCATGGTGACTGAGGTGCTGCAAGAGGTGTGTATATAAGCGAAGCGGCTCTCCACACTGATGCACGAGCAGATCCACGTCCCATGTGGTGGATACAGGAACCACGTGTGTGTGCAAGTGCAGTTTTGCATCTGCACATGAATCTCTGAATATCTAGATTTTCTAACCCACTTAAGGGCTGCATGTGACAGATTCTGGAATTATCTATAAGCTGTAAGGAAGGAAACTGATAGCATGATCACGTCAAGATTATACTTTTAAAAGTTGCATTTTAAGACCAACATAATTTTTATTATGAGGTTTATTAATTTCTGTGCCGTTTGCTCTCATGTTTCCTTCCTGCACTCCCACCCCAATCTGGACCTCCAGAATGAAAGGCAAATTATTTCCCAATCATATATGTTGGCTACTCTGATGCTGTATCTATCATCTAGGGAGTAACATTTGCTTATCTTTCAGCCGCCGCTGGCGTCGCTGGAACCGATTCAATCGCAGAAGATGTAGGGCTGCCGTGAAGTCTGTCACGTTTTACTGGCTGGTTATCGTCCTGGTGTTTCTGAACACCTTAACCATTTCCTCTGAGCACTACAATCAGCCAGATTGGTTGACACAGATTCAAGGTACAAGCAGAGGCCACTCCTTTTTTTGTCCAACTGCCATTTGGTCTTATCTGATTGCCATATGATGAAGTATTGGAACATTTCTAGTGAGGACAGACTTGGATGGTAGCACCATCCAGACAAAGCAACTACCAGAGTGAAGGTGCTGTCCATGCTGCATGATGAAGCACTTTGGAGCCACCTAATGCTAGGCGTCTAATTGTCCTAACCCTGAGCCAACCTAAGACCAAGAATTCTTGGAGTTTGAAGGGACCTCATAATCCCTTCTCACACCCCGGTTGGGAAGCCTCACTTTCCCCTATAGTACTTCTGGCAAATGGTTTTGGTTCTCCTGCTTTGAATGCTCCAGCACACGAGTGTGAGACTCTCATCCCCAGAGACAGCCCATTCTGAGTATGTCAGTTTCGAGTCTTTGAAAAGTCCTTCCTTACATCCAGTTAAACCTGTTTCCTTCTACCTCTCCATCCTGCTTGGTAGTATTTTTTACTGTTAGTAATGACATTGATAGGTGACTGCTTCTGATATCAAGATGACATAAACAAATTCAGACAGGTGTTCTTTATGTGACTGAATAAAAAAATATATATAACCTGATGGTGTCAAGGCAGAATCGTAGGCTTTTAGGGCTGGAAAGCATCAGAGATTATGTGATGAGCTGCCCCTTCCCATTTTGTCATCAGTGACACTGAGACCTGGAGAAATCAAGTAACTTCTCCAGAGTCACACACCTAGCTAGTAGCAGAAGCAGGACCAGAGCCTGATGGAGAGACTATCCATGCGAAGGCCACGTTTCTGTCCTGGGTGAGGTAGTGAAGAGAGAGACAAGGTATTGGTGTATTTCCTATGGGGCCTGATAGGGAGGCATGAGGGGCAGGAGTAGTCTGTCTTGCAGGAGACGCTGAGGATGGGTGCCCCTTCGTCTTTGCAGATATTGCCAACAAAGTCCTTTTGGCTCTGTTCACCTGTGAGATGCTGGTGAAAATGTACAGCTTGGGCCTCCAAGCATATTTCGTCTCTCTTTTCAACCGGTTTGATTGCTTCGTGGTGTGTGGTGGAATTACTGAGACCATCTTGGTGGAACTGGAGATCATGTCTCCCTTGGGGATCTCTGTGTTTCGGTGTGTGCGCCTCTTAAGAATCTTCAAAGTGACCAGGTAAGGAAATGTGGGCCCCACTGGAAATGTTTTATGAACGTGAAGCAGCGACCAGTCAGTCCCCGGGCAGGCGTTGTTCTGCTCTGTCCCCATGGGTGTTCTGAGCTCACACCCTCATCTTGACTTATAGGCACTGGACTTCTCTGAGCAACTTAGTGGCATCCTTGTTAAACTCCATGAAGTCCATCGCTTCGCTGTTGCTTCTGCTTTTTCTCTTCATTATCATCTTTTCCTTGCTTGGGATGCAGCTATTTGGCGGCAAGTTTAATTTTGATGAAACGCAAACCAAGCGGAGTACCTTTGACAATTTCCCTCAAGCACTTCTCACAGTCTTCCAGGTGAGTTTTCCCTCCTTGTCCTGAAAAGCACATTGTGAGCAGCAGCTAAAACTCCTCTGCCTTCTTGTGCACAAACACTCAGGAAGACAAAAGGATTCCATTTTTGTTCATCTCTGCCCTAACGATAGACTGGTAAATTTTGTGCCATGTTAGTTATTTGTTCTGCATCATCCTCCAGCTATCTATGTTATGTGATTTAATGTTTTGTTCTGTTTTTTGAGACGGAGTCTCACTCTGTCACCTAGGCTGGGGTACAGTGGTGACGCAATCTCAGCTCACTGCAACCTCTGCCTCCCAGTTTCAAGCAATTCTCCCACCTCTGCCTCCCAAGTAGCTGGGATTACAGTCTCATGCCACTACACCCAGCTAATTTTTTGTATATTTTTTTAAGTAGAGACGGGGTTTCACCATGTTAGCCAGAATGGATTCAATCTCCTGACCTCAAGAACCGCCCACCTCAGCCTCCCAAAGTGCTGGGATTACAGGCTCGAGCCACTGTGCACAGCCCTTAGCCCTTAATATTCTTTTAAAAAAAGTCTTCTAGCTACATTACAAAATAATAAACCAAAAAACCCTTTTTTACACACACACTCCTCCCAGAAAACTTTTTGATTGATTTTGTGAGGTTTCTTTGAAATAGACTCTAAAATTCTCCTGTTCTTTGCTAATTTTTGATGGCAGGCCAGTTCATAATCCTAGTTATAATAGATTACCCAATAAGTGAATTCTCATGCCTCCATGCTGTGGTGTGTAGTTGGAGGAACGTGACAGCTGTTGGCCGCTTCTGTCCTCCTTCTGAGGTTCAGTGAGGATGCAGAGTCTGAGGGTGCCTGTACTGTGGGCTGCTGCAGGCACTGGCTGAGAAGGGAGTGGTGGTTGCAGAGAGGCACCGATGGCCCTGCTGCTCAAGGAGCAGCACACACTCCGCTGACTCTAAGCTGAGTGTTCAAAACCCTCCTCCTTGGACAGGGTCTGATAGATAAGTTTAAAACACCTACCTGTCCTCATTGCTTGTCCTGTGTGATGTGAGCTGCAAAGCCCTGCCAGAGAGGAAAGGCAGCAGACAGCTGGGTCCTGGGGTAGCCCTTTCTATGCCTAGCTGCCTGCCGCGGATGAGTCACTCACCCATTTCTGAAGAAATCCAGCAACCAAAAGGATTGGTCTGGACACTGTTTCCCACGTGGTCATTTTGAGGTATATGTAATTACTGCTATAAGCCATAGTTTTGTTGTTTGAATTATACTTAAATTTTGGCTGCTAATTAGTCATTCTTTTTTTAAATTTTTTTCTTTCAGAGAGACTGGTGTTTTTTTTTTTTTTTTTCGTAACATATGCATATGGCACAAAATTCTAATGTTACAAATGAATATTTTCCCAGCCAGCCACGAATTTCCACTTCTAGGAAGTAACCACCATTAGACAGTTTCTTGTGAATTCTTAAAGCTGCATTTTCTCATAGCTACAACTCAGTTAAGCTACCTATAGGTGACTTTCCACAGACAGGAGTTCACTCTACGTGCTGTTTTGCATCTTGCTTTTATCACTTCAAGTGTCCTCAAGAGCCTTCCTGCTTGGTCCATAAAAGGCTGCCCCTCCTTTGAAACGCTGCATCTGAGTGGTGGTACAGATGTGCCATTGTTCATGTGACGGGTCCCCTTGCTGCCAAGCATTGAATTCTATTCAGTCTTGGCCCACAGAAACAGGGCTCCAGTAGGTAACACTGAACACACGTCAGAGGACACATGTTTTGACCATCGATCTGTGGGATAAACTCCCAGAAGTGGAACTGCTGCTTTAGAGGGTGTGTCCATTTTAAACGTTGCCACCCTTGCCCAAGTGATCTCCTTACCTTTGAATTAGCTCATCCTCCTCCCACAGTGCAGACACTGCCCATTGCTTCACTGCCTCTCCCTGCAGCAGGGAGCACGTTTTGGGATGCCCATCAGATAGGTGAAAAAGGTGTCTCACTGTACTTTTAACAGAGAGTCCTCTTATCAGGAGTGAAGTTGAATGTCTTTCCCTGTGACTCAGAGCCATCAATAGTGCCTTTTCTGTGAATTACATTATCTTTTCAATTCATTTGCCCATTTTTGTTTGGTTGTGATCCATAACAGTTTAAAAATATCTAGTCCAGCTTGAAGATAAAGGAGCTCTGCCTGTCGTTGAAAGATAGCATTTTTTCATTAATGTTCTTACTCATCTGATTCTATTTTATCATGGATTGAATTATTAATTATCAGTAGAGAAGATTAAATTTCAGGTCATTGGTGGTATCTACTCTTGATGTGGTTTTGTAAATTTACATGAGACATTTAGAATTTCCTGCTTCTGTAATTTCATAGATGTAATTCTCCATTTCCACAGTTGTTGGGCTATGTGGAATGCTACGAAGCAGGTAAAAGAATGAGATGTGCTTTCTGACTCAGAGTGTTTCCAGAGTATGTTGTTGAATGAAAAAACAAGCCAGTTGCAGAAAACTTTGCATAGCATGATACCCTTTATGTCTGAAAACTCAGAGAAGACACCTAGTGCTTGTTTTCTTTGTATATAAACATGTTTAAACCTGTAGGTGACGGTTCAGAGAGACATAGAAAGAGCATGCTTTCTGGGGAAGGGACTAAAACTGGGCTGGGTGTAATCAAAAAGCATGTAAGTCTTGGTCGGGCGCAGTGGCTCTCACCTGTTATCCCAGCATTTTGGGAGTCTGAGGTGGGCGAAACACTTGAGGTCAGGAGTTCAAGGCCAGCCTGGCCAACATGGTGAAACCCTATCGCTACTAAAAATATAAAAATTAGATGGGTGTGGTGGCGGACACCTGTAATCCCAGCTACTCAAAAGGCAGAGGCAGGAGAATCACTTGAACCTGGGAGGTTGAAGTTGCAGTGAGCCAAGATCAAGCCACTGCATGCCAGCCTGGGCGACAAGAGTAAGACAGCATCTCTAAAAAAAGTACGTGAGTCTTAAATATAAGGTTTGGTTTTTTTCACTTGCAGAATTAACCATCTATTTGTGTAATTAAAAAACAATGTTTTAAAAATTTCGTGGGATAACAAATGGATTTGTTCAGTGCAAACAGGACTGTGAAAGGCAGCTTAAACCAGATCTAGGCAGCCACCAAGGGGCTCTAAGAGAGTGACTGCAATTTGTGAATCCACCTGCTGGCTGATACCAGTTTGGCTTCTCAGATCCTGACAGGCGAAGACTGGAACGCTGTGATGTACGACGGCATCATGGCTTATGGGGGCCCATCCTCTTCGGGAATGATCGTCTGCATCTACTTCATTATCCTCTTCATTTGTGGTAACTGTATCCTTCAAGCCGACCTCCTTCCTTGTTGCCTTCCTTGTGCGTTTCTTTTTCTTCCTCTGGATTTTTCTGTGGTGATGATGGTGGTAGTAGTTGTGGCAGGGAGGTGAATGCCTTTACCTTATTAACTCAATATCTGCTTTTCTTCCATGCGGTGGGGGGACAGCGTCCTATAAGTAGAATTCCAGAGAGGCTTTGCAGAATGTGTTCTGGCTAAGAGAAGCAAGCCCAGGAAAGGAGCATGAGATAGCACATGTACTGGTACCAGAGGTTGCTCAGTTTGTCCTCATGTCTCCTGTACAGTTCCTGAGAGGCGGCTGAGAGCAAGGCCAGGTGGTTCTTTATGTTATCATTCTTGGGAGCTTAGGCGTCCAGCTGTGACTTCCTAAGAGCCTTCGTGACTGATGGGAGCCATCTTTGTGGACTGACCTGTGCTCCCTTGGGCTGATTTCACTTTGCTGATCTGTCCATCTTTGAGGATCAAGTGTCTATTGGCTAGCTGCTAAATCATGCTGTGTAACTTCTCTCTGACTTAGTTTACTCTTTTCCCTGCCAAAAGGCACTCTAATCCTGGACTTCTGGCACTGGCCCTTGGATCTGTATTTCCCTCACTCAGACCCTACCTGATCCTGTAGCCTTTGGTTCTCTGTGTCTTATCTCCAGGTCCTCCATGCCCTGCACCAGACCTGGTACACAGAGGCCTTTAGCAAATGCTTGATGAATGAACAGCATACACACATGATACTACATCTGGGTCTTCTCCCTTCCATTTTAAAAGGTCCTAATCTGGATTCTTCTAAGGGGGCTCAGATCTCTGAAGGTGTTTTCTCCTTTATCTTGTCTGGCTCACTGATGAATTTTCTTCAGTGTGGCAACCTCAGTACAAGGGCAATGCTTTGTGCTATATGGTATTTTATGAAAACCCCATATCAAGACATATACATCCTCCTAATCCCTTGAGTTGGCTCTAAGGCCCCATCCACCAGAGGCACCCTTACCCTATTTCCCACCCAGAGAAAGTTCTTCTCTGAGGTCCCCTCAGATTTTATCCATATGTCTCTTACCACCTGTAGGTTCTTCTATCTACCGGATTTTTTTTTTTTTGAGTTGGAGTCTCACTCTGTCACCAGGCTGGAGTGCAGTGGTGTGATTTCAACTCACTGCAACCTCCACCTCCTGGATTCAAGCGATTCTCCTGCCTCAGCCTCCCGAGTAACCAGGGATTACAGGCACGTACTACCATGCCTGGATAACTTTTATATTTTAGTAGAGATAGGGTTTCATCATGTTAACCAGGCTGGTCTTGAACTCCTGACTTAGGGGATCTGCCTGCCTCAGCCTCCCAAAGTGCTGGGATTACAGGTGTGAGCCACCACACCCAGCCTGTCTACTGGAATTTTGAGTGGGCATTCCTCCAGCTCCTTAACTAGATGATATGCTTCTTAGGTTAGAAATCTTTTTGGTATTCACATCTCTCAATAGATTACAGGATCTTGCAAATAGCTGGCCCTTGGTAAATGAATGGTCGTTACTTTCTTTTTCTGCTCTCCTCGTGGTTGACTCTTCAGGCCCCAGCAGCATCCTGGACTGAAGTCTGTGTAGAAGTAACCCCTGGGGCTTCTCTGTGGTTGCATGTTGTTTTCTTTGTAGCACATGTCACTATATCAGAGGTGCTTAGGGAATGGCTTACGTTCTGTCTTCCCCAACTAGAATAGATATTCCAGTGTGCCCCCAGCACGCACAACAGTGCCTGGCACATTGGAGGTGCTTGGTAGATCTTTTTGGATGAATTCCAGAGCATGCCACTCTTTAGGCAGGTCTAAGTAGTGCCTCTAAATGCAGATGATGGATTTTTCACTGGGAAGTTGTTTGTTACAAGCTTGTAAGATCTTGCTGTGGCTCATCACTCTGGATTTGCTTTCCACTACCCAGAGGAGTTGAGGGTCATTGCAAGAGTAGAGAGATCATTGTTTCTTCGCTGAGATGGAGGGGAGTACTCAGTACAGCTAGTTTCAGCACTAAGCCCTTGTCTGAACTACCATTACCCCATGCTCATCAGAGAAATGCCCACGTTACCAAGCCATCTCTGGCCCAGGACAAATTGCTTCCTCTGACTCATTGCAGCTCCAGTTAAACAGGCCAGCATGTCAAAGGCTCTTTGAGGCTTAATGTAACTCACGCACGTTTCTCTCCTGTTTAAAGCCTTGAATGATTAGTCAGGCCTGTAGTTCCCTCACAGAGAACTCATCATCTGTTCCTTGTTAGGTTATGTTGGTTTACGTGTTCAGCAACCCATTGAAACAACAGACTCCACAGGATGTGTGGGACAGTGCTGTGCTGCTCCTGTCTTGGGTCTCTGGGCTCCTGCAGTTTTGCCTACAGATGGCCAGGCATCAGGCAGAGAGAAGCATTCGTCATAGAAGGGATCTTTCTCACTTACTGCCCTCTCATCTCTGTGCTTCTCAAAAACATACTTCACTGCTAGTGAGTGAGAAACAGCCATCTTCTGATTTGGGGGCCTTGTTCAGAGTACTTGTTAAAAACAAAAACATTCAGGAAAACCATGTATACAGTGTTCCAGTAAGAGCGGAAAGACACGATAATGTGTTCAATCACCCAGCCTTTTGTTGTCTTTTTTAACTGGAGCTGCAGGGAGCCTCAGGAAGCAGTTTGTCCCAGACTGGAGATGGTAAAAATCAAGTTCAGGCACAGTGATCAGAGACCCAGCTGCAGTGAAACTATTCCCAGCAGCCCAGCACCAGCTGGCAGTGAGTCAGGCACACTGTAGGCAGTCAGTGTTTGTGCAGTGAAGGAATGAATGAGTTATCTGCAGACTCTGAAGGTTATTTCAGAGGAGAAAGTCTCATACTGTCTTGTGCAACTGGATCATCATTTGAATTACTTGCAACCTTTGAAGCGATCTATTTTGGAAAGCCCTCCTCTGAATATATATGTTGTAGTTGTAGTGTGTGTTAAAAAAAAAAAAACACCGAAACTACTTTTTAATTATACCATGTTTATGTTATAGATTGTTTTATATTATGTATAGCATCGCTATAGATATGTAGACCTATGGACACAGACACACACACAGAAATGTTGAAGTTAGTAGGTTTTCATGGGTTTTACTGAATCTTAATTTTACTTCTTCTGTCGACTGTCCTTTTACAGGTTTTTAAGGTTTTTTTGTTTTGTTTTGTTTTGTTTTAAGCAGGGCTCTGGTACTCTGGTTTTGCTGTGTAAATATAGCACTTGGGACAGTCACTTGCTACCAGCCTTCCAGGATGCAGAGGGGTGTGGGGTGTGGCTTTGCCATTGTTGGCCACATGTAGTTGCATTTAGAAGTGTGTTGTGCCCTTAAACAGTTCAAATTAGATATTCTACTGAACGTCTTCTTGGCCATCGCTGTAGACAATTTGGCTGACGCTGAAAGTTTGAACACTGCTCAGAAAGAAGAAGCAGAAGAAAAGGAAAGAAAAAAGATTGCCAGGTAACCCCATTTTCCCCTGAGGTATTTGCCTAAGGGCTTCACGGGGAGCCCTGCCACAGGTGCAGCCTGCCAGGACCACCCCTGCTTCCCTGCAGCTGCAGCCCCCCAGCTTGCTGCTTTGTGGATCATGATTGACCGTGCACTGCAGACCAAAATGAATGGAATCTTGGGCAGAAGCCAGGCCCTTGGCTCCCATCCCTCAGAGCCAAGAGTGGGAGTCACATGTCCCCATGCTTAAAGAATCACTGCAGATAATTTTGGCATCATAAAATAAATGATGCATTCAATGCTGATTAGCTCTCAGATGAGAATTTTAATAAGATGATCTGTGTAATGAATCCATCACCTTGAGATTGCCAGGGAGCTCTGAGTTTGGGTTGTGCTAGGCTCTCGTGGTTAGTGTTGTTTCTAATTAAATTCTGTCCTTCATGGGAGCATTGTTGATTCAGAATCCTGATTAGCATTTTTACACAGAGGAAGGTGGTTATTTGGTTTCTTGTGGTCTTTTCTCTTTAGAAAAGAGAGCCTAGAAAATAAAAAGAACAACAAACCAGAAGTCAACCAGGTAGCCAACAGTGACAACAAGGTATGTGTTCTGAGATACTTCTCCCCTTTTTGTATCAAAAGGATTCTGTTGGTATCTCCATACATGTACCATTTACACTGCAGAAGTGCTTGTGTATCATACTTGTAATATTTTGGTGTGAAGAGTATAGCACACCATATAGACCCTGGCTTCCCAGGGGGGTTCTGGCTGAATTTAGGCGGTTAGCTGTGTTCACCGATATTTCACCAGGAAACCAATATGATAAAGATTTGACTAGTTTGACCACTTATTTTTTCTTTATTGGAATTGTGCAGTCAGATTTGACCCATGATCAGAATCACATTCGCATCTTCTGAGTGGGTATGAACATCAGGGATTTTTAATAGATGTCTGTTTCCAGAGGTAATCCCATTATCAGGTGGCCTCAGGGCTACACTGTCAAACTTGATCCCATTTATGACAGCTCTGGTTGTTGTGTTCCTTCTTTATTCATCGAGTTGATAAATGCTTACCGAGTGGCTATTGTGTGTCAGACACTGGGGATTCAGGAATGAAGAAGACAGGCCCCTGCCTTCATGGGCCTTGCAGTCTGGCAGGAAGGCAGGAGTTTGAGATGCATTATCATGTGGTATGAGTGACTGTGCTGGCACAGGGCAAAAACAGAGAGCCCCGGATGGTGCTGGCTAATCACGACTGGGTCAGGGTTCAACCAGCCCTCTCCTCACCTTCCCTCTGGCCTTCTGTCTGAAGCAGAATCACCATCTGGGGACATATGCCTGTCCCTGCACACTCACATACAGGCGCAACTTTGGGGAGGAATCCATGCCCTGTGCTGGACCGCCAGGGCGACTTTTCCTCTCTGAAGTGCATTTAAGTCCGAGTCTCCCCTCCTCCCAAGATGTCTCTGTCATCCCAGGTTACAATTGATGACTACAGAGAAGAGGATGAAGACAAGGACCCCTACCCACCTTGTGATGTGCCAGGTATGGTGGTGGAGGCTGGAGACACTGGCTTTGCTGTGTGGCTTTGCTACTGCTCTGTGGCCAGCGGCTGAGTCTGCAGCCAGCCAGCCCAGCACTGTGCACATGAGCTGCTGAGGCCACCAAGGCCATGGGACCAGTTAGCTCCCCTTTTTCCCATGGTCGCAGGCAGCATGTGTCACCCAAATTCCAGGTGATGGGGAGGGAAAGTGCAGGTGGGTCAGGGCAGTCCCAGCTTCTGCTGGGAGACTGGTCTAGGAGGCCCCCGGGTGTTAGCACTCAGCTGACACTTTTACATTTGACTGGCACATTTTTTGGCTAATATGGGTGGGACTGTGGAGTTGGGAGCCTAGGAGCTGATTGAGACTGAAAGTCCCTTGCAGTTTCTCAGGCCAAGCTGAGCAAGGAGGTTACGGTGGCGGGGGGGGGGCGGGGTGCGGAGGGGGGACAGCCAGGTGCTAGGAGGTTCACAGTGATAATCCCGGCACCACCACCTTTCATCTGTGGTCAGATCTTACCCTGGTGAGAATCTCATTCCCACAATCTAAACATGCTGATCAGCTGGGGACACTTCTCAGCGCGCTCCCCTCTCCCCTCAAACACACACTCAGTCCATATTCTGAAGGAGCAGGAGGGTTTTGCTTCATGTAAGTAGGTAGACGTTGTTAAAGTTCAAGCCAAATTTGCATGTGAAACTGAGAATAATTCAAACCCATATGTAGTCTTTATTTTGTGCCTATAAAAATAGTATTTCATTTAAAGTAGGGGAAGAGGAAGAGGAAGAGGAGGAGGATGAACCTGAGGTTCCTGCCGGACCCCGTCCTCGAAGGATCTCGGAGTTGAACATGAAGGAAAAAATTGCCCCCATCCCTGAAGGGAGCGCTTTCTTCATTCTTAGCAAGACCAACCCGTAAATACTCCCCTTCTAGTCTCTCACAGCTGCCCTTTGCCAGTGACCCTACAGGTCGCTTGATGGTGGCTCGGGTGGGGGTGAGGGGAAGTGGTTCGCAGCCCTTTCTGAACCTGAGTGTCCCTGGCACCCCACCACCCAAGTCCCCTCCAACCCCTCTCTCCTCCACTGTTGCTCTTGCCCTCAGCTCATCTCTTCCTCACCGCCTCCTTTCCACAGGGGTGTGGCCAGGGGCTGGGAGGAGCTCCATTCTAGATTCTCCTCCCTGCCTTCACCCCTGCACAGGGACAGCAATGGGGAAAGCCTTGTCCACCCCAGCATATGCCAATGGGAGCCCACTGCTCTGCTGTTCCATGCTTCGGCCACACATGAGAGTTTTTCTTAAGTGGATCTTCTGTTAGGATGCTTCGTGGGATGAGAATTTTTGTGACCCAGATCTACATAGCATCCTCACCTCACAGACCCCCCCCACTTCATGGATCCGTTTTCCCTATTGAATTTTATAATCATAAAGTCATGTTGCACAGTGATATTTTATAGGTTGTAAATATTCAGTTCAGCTCTATGATACTCTACTTAAAATAGCATTTCTCATGTTAAAATGATAAGGTGCTCACAAGGAACAAGGTAATGACTCACACGTACTATAAGAGGAAGAAGTTTATTTACTAGCTAGTTTCTAGGTTTTAAATCATCTGGGGCTGAGTGGAATGCCAGGGGGAATAAATGGCTCCTGGAAAGGTTTCTAGAATTGCAGAAGTAGTTCTTGGCGGCCAGAGAACAACTCTGTATAATTCACTGACCCTAGGGAGACACAGGTGGGAAGCAAGGCCTGCTGGCGTCCTCAGAGATATGAAGGTGTGATGATAGCTTTTACAGCTCACCACTGTTTGGGTGTCCTTTTTTTTAAAAAAAAAAAAAAAGGTTATTAAACTGATATTGCTGACACCTGCAGTCATATATATATATATGTTGAGAGAATGGATTTATTTTCACCCAAAGCTGCAAAGCACTCCTGCCTTCACTAGCTTGGAAGTTCTCCCCACACTGAACTGCTAACCACCTGCAGGTCCTCTAGGGGTATGCCCAGCATTAAGTAGGTCCAAAAGGGAGGACATGAGGTGAGGCATCACCTTCATATAAAGTTGACTCTAGTATTGAAAGTGGAAAAATCTTTTCAAAGGAAAACCTATCTTTATAAGAGGCTTATAGAATATGGGAATACAGATAGGTGTGTACACATATATACACACACACATCACACTTTAGAATTTAAACATATACATACATATTCTACATATACACATATATATACTAGAATGTGAGTATACATATTTAATATATACATATATACACATATTTAGACATGCATACATGTGCATATGTGTATGCATATGTCTAAATATGTGTATATATGAATATGTGTATATATGTATATGTGCATATACATGTATATGTATGTATATGTTTAAATTCTTAAGTCAAACATTGGGGGTAAGGATAGTTGCTAACGGGTGCAGGGCACACTGAGGACAGCAGCGAGGTTCTGATGGCCCATCATTTGAGCCCAGGTGTTGGGCATGAGCTGTCCTCCTTTGCTTCATGAGCCCACAGGACTTGGTGAGAACTCTGTCATGCTGGGCCATGAGATCCTTGTGTGTTCACAACCTTCACTTTCTGACGGCTGCTTGTCCGTCAGCTCCAAAATTTTTAAAAATAACGTTTATTACAAAATCTGCAGACGGGACAAGCACAGGATTCATCTCATTCTGTGTGAACTGTCGAGGGCAGGCCTGGCCTCAGTTTACCCTCTTGGTCAGGGAAGATAAGCAGATGAGCTTTCTGTCATAGTGGGAAAACTTCAGTCATATAGACCTTGATCAAATCTCCCCCTGGTCCTTACTAGTGTCACTTTAGAATTCTCTTAGTAAGCCTCAGTTTCCCCATCTTTAGGAAGACAAGATCCACTTTGAAGAACTCAGTGGTGGAATGGTCTGTGTGGTGCCCCCAGCACAGAGTTGACATACCACACATAGTCCAAAGGGGCTGCTCTTGGTGGGCTTTGTGGGGCTCATGGAGAGGTCACTCATGTGTGCCAGGCAGGGTGCGTGGGTGGCACAACAGACAGCTGCCCTCTGCCCGACCTCCTGCTGCAGTAGCCCCACACTCTTAAGGACACAGTGCGTTCCACTCCATCTGGGACTGTTTCCAAGCAGCGACTTTTCCCTACAGGATCCGCGTGGGCTGCCACAAGCTCATCAACCACCATATCTTCACCAACCTCATCCTCGTCTTCATCATGCTGAGCAGTGCTGCCCTAGCCGCAGAGGACCCCATCCGCAGCCACTCCTTCCGGAACACAGTAAGTCCCTTTGTGGGGCTCGCCCTGGGATGGCACTGGCCTCTCTCAGGCAGAGGCTACTGCGGAGATGGGAGCTGTGGAGGCCCTCAGGGCGAAGGCTAGAGCAGGTCTTTCCTTCACCTGGGGGAGTCAGGTGCTTCCGGTTTGTAAGTGCCATGGAGCTTGTATTTTAGCTGGGTAAATCTGAATGGCATCATCAATTTAGAACATCATCTTAAATACTCTGCAGGAACTGTCAATGAATTCAGGGAGTCTGCTTCTCCTCCTCTTTGTTCCCTGCTGCCGACATTTAAGTCCTCCTTTCCCTACCTGCTCAGGTTCATACTCACCCCAATTTTGAGATTCATGCCTCATGGAATCACATGGCAGGGAGGAAGCAGAATTCAAACCAGGCATGCCACATGCCCAGGCTCTCTCATTCAGGGTTGGGGCAAGATTCCCGTGTCATGTAGACTTAAATAAACCAAGCTGCTAGGCTCCACGACTGAGGGGAAATACAATTTAGGAAGATGATGGGATGTCGAGTTGAGGTGTTCAGTGGAGGAGAACTCTAGGCCAGGTACAATGCCTCACACCTGTAATTCCAGTGCTTCGAGAGATTGAGAGGGGAGGATCGCTTAAGTACAGGAGTTCAAGACTGGCCTGGGCAATGTAGCAAGACCTCATCTCTACAAAAAATTTAAAAAAAAATTGCCAAATGTGATAGCACACACCTGTAGTCCCAGCTACTCAGGAGGCTGAGGGAGGAGAATCACTGGGACCCAGGAGGATGAAAGCTGCAGCAAGCCATGTTTGCACCACTGCAGTCCAGCCTCGGTGACACAGGGAGACTTTGTCTCAAAGGCAAAAAAAGAATGTATCATGAATGTGAAAATGTTTCTTCTCTGCGAAGATCTGTTATAAAATATGTGGTTATGTTACATATTTCACAAGTATTTCCAAAGAAAGTGCTGACCTTGGCCCCAGAGAGCCAATATTAAGTTTGAATAACTTCAAGAGTGCGCCAGGCAGAGCCACTTTGACCCTTAAGCATGTTAACTTGGCTGTTTACAATATTACTTTTCATTGGCAGAATTAGAAATACACAAAGAATTATTAATTGACTGGACATGGTGGCTCATACCTATAATCCCAGCATTTTGGGAGGCCAAGGCAGTAGAATCACTTGAGCCCAGGAGTTCAAGACTAATCTAGGCAACATGGCGAGACCCCATCTATGTAAAAATTTAAAAATTTGCCACCCATGGTGGTGCATGCCTGTCCCTGCTACTTGGGAGGCGGGAGGATTGCTTGAGCACAGGAGGCTGAGCCTGCAGGGAGCTGTGTTCACACCACTGTATTCTGGCCTAGGTGACAGCAAGACTCTGTCTATAAAAAAGCAAACAAACAAACAGAACGCTAGATTTTGGTGTGGTGGAGGTGGTTATTCAGTTAACCCTCTGTCTCCATGGGTTTGGCACCAAGGATTCAATCAACCACAGATAGAAAATATTTGGGAGTGGCCAGCCATGGCAGCTCACACCTGTAATCCCAGCATTTAGGGAGGCCAAGGCAGGTGGATCACTTGAGGTCAGGAGTTTGATACCAGCCTGGCCAACATGGTAGAACCCTACCTCTACTAAAAATACAAAAAAATTAGCCAGGTGTGGTGGTGCACAACTGTAGTCCCAACTACTTGGGAGGCTGAGGCATAAGAATCACTTGAACCCTGAAGACAGAGGTTGCAGCAGTGAGCCAAGATCGCACCACTATACTCTAGCCTGGGCAGCAGAATCAGTGATACTCCGTCTAATAAAAAAAAAAAAGAAAGAAAGAAAGAAAAGAAAAAAAATACATGGGGGAGAAAATGTACTAAATTTGTGCAGATTTTTTCTAAATGATTTGCATGGCATTAAATCTAGAGATGATCTAAGGTCTACAGGAGGATGTGCATAGATTATATGCAAACACTACACCATTTTATATCAGAGACTTGAGATTTTGGGGTATGAGAGGATCCTGGGAGCAATCCCTCATGGATATGGACTATACTGAGAAAACAAGCTGAGGGGGCCAGGCGTGCTGGCTCACACCTGTAATCCCAGTACTTTGGGAGGCTGAGTCAAGCGGATCACTTGAGGTCAGGAGTTCAAGACCAGCCTGGCCAACATGGTGAAACTCCGTCTCTACTAAAAATACAAAAATTAGATGGGCATGGTGGTGTGCACCTATAATCCCAGTTATGCAGGAAGCTGAGGCAGGAGAATTGCTTGAACCCAGGAGGTGGAGGTTGCAGTGAGCCGAGATCTCGCCATTGCACTCCAGCCTCAGTGACAAGAGTGAAACTCCGTCTCAGACAAACAAACAAAAATACGAGCAATTCAAGGGTTTTCTGTTAGTCATCAGTTTTGTAGCTTAGGGATGGTGCCCGCCCACTACGTCTATTTTGGAAGGAAACTTGCACCTAAATTGGTTCTTGCCTCAGCAGCCCCTCCTTAACTGTGCAGCTTACTCAGCACTGAGGACCATTGAAAGGCAAGACAGCTAGAAGCAGCAACCCGTTGATGCTCAATCCTAGATATTATTCTGCAGTTTCAGGTTATTACCAAGAAACCCGACCAGCAGAGGGAGGCCGGTGAGTGTGCAAGCTCATCAGGTATCCCTGGCATGCTGGTGGGTGCCTTTCTCTGAGCATCAGATTGTTAGAGATTTTAGGGTTAAGACACACCAGCGGATCTGTGCCCCTAGGACTCTGTCAGGACATCCAAGCCTCATGTTGCTGCTTCCCATTTCTGGATCCTGGCAAGCCCCATCTATCAGATGTATGAAACACGCATGCTGATGTGAAGGGAAAAAGTGCTTTCCCCATGGTGCGTGTTAGTTTTGGTGTAAAGAGGAAGACACTGGGCCTTTCTCGATCTGTCCTCACAGATGAGGGTTTTTGTTAGAGAGTTGGTCTAGATGCCCCAATAGAAGAAAGACCTCTGTGTCCTTTCATTCTATCATAAAAAAAGGACACAAGGGCTGTGTTTGGGAGGGAAAAAAAAGCATTCAGTGACAAATTAGGTCAGGAGCTAGTCTAGAATACACATTAACAAGGGGTTAATTTACATGGGGGCTTCATGTCTTATTTTTAATTACAGTTGCTTCTCCGTAAGTTTATTTCCCTGCTGCCTTACCCAAACCAAAAATGTTATCTTTCTGCTTAAATAGATGTACATATGTGTATGTATATTGCTTTTGAGATTCTGCAGTGTTTTGTATGTTTTTAACCTTAGCTGAATTCTTAGTTTAAAAAAGAGAATGCAAGCAGAGTGAGGACAAAAACAGCTTAAATCTCAACTTCTGCCCTGGGCACCAGGTTGCCTCATAGACTTGAAGGCTAGTGTGTCTTCTTTCTGGGCTACTAGATGCTTTCCACGTTAATATTCCCACTGTGACCCAGGAAGGAGTAAGGAGAAGGTGGCAGAGACCTGGTAGTGCCCTGGAAGATACCTTTCATAGCCTGGCCAAGAAACTCAGTTACACAGGAGTGCTTACATAGAATGTGTAAGTCCAAAACCAGAAACAGTTTGGAAAATGAATACCCTCTGAAGAGAGAGACTAGGCTTGAAACAGAGGTCCTCACCTTATTGTGACACAGCCCCCAGGTGACTCCCGTACCTACAACAGCTCAGCCCTGTGGCTCTCCACTGGCATCCCCCAGGCCTACTCCTTGCCCAGCAGTGCCTGTGACTGGCTGTGTGGCCTGCGCGTGTGTCCATTTCCTGCTCCCAGCTCCTCTAATATCTGTTAAAGGATTAGGCCTGGGTGGTATCCACAGTCCCTTCCAGCTCTGCTCTCTTCAGTTCTTTCAAAACCATAGATCACAGTTGTCATGAAGATTAATGGCCAAGACCAGCTCACCTTTGCAGATAAGGGTGCTGTGGTAAGAAGCTCCCTGTAAGTAGCTTTCTTGGTGGTCAGACTTCTTGCTGCTGGCCCACTTGCCTCCGCAGTGCTGAGGAGAAGCAGGGACCCCAGAAAGGGCTAGCAGGCCTTGGTTGATGGGAGAATAGATGGTATTGGCACGAATGCGGATAGAGTTTCCTGGACCGAAAATTCAAAGGCCAAGTCAGTCTGTTATTTGAGTAGGCCCAGCAAGGTTTAAAAAAACACCTGAGTTTAGAGAGAGCAGTGTTAGATGCAGAACCATTGGCAGGAGGAAGGCAGTCTGTAAAACCCTCCCTTGCAGACATGGCGCATGGTTGGGGAAAGGTGATGACACCCTGATGGCACAGGCTGGAATTCAAGGGGACATGTGGAAGCTATGGCTCTGATGGATGTCACTGCCATCATTATGCTTCTCCACCCATCGGATGTTCAGATGGAGGGCAACATACTTCAGCCAGAAATGCGATTAAAAATCCAAAATGTGTATAAGCCTTTAATTTACCTGGTGCCACAAGTCATTTGTAGATGTAATGCTCTCTGATGAGAAAAGCTTGTTAACAAAGCACTCTTAGAAATCAGCCTGTCTGCCTGTCCAAGACACAAGACTGGGAAGCAAGTCAGGGTGAGTGGTTAAAGGAGGTTGGGATTCTCAAATGCTCTTTGGGAATGATGTAATTGACCAGAGTGGGCGTTTACCAGCAGCTCTGCACTTACCTCCACAATGGCGGGGTTTTCCCGGGAGGATGGGTCTCTGACTGCATGGGGGGTTTCTGCCTGTGAGCATGCAGTTGTCAGAGTTTGTCTGAATGCCTTTTCTCACTCCCACATGTTGTGCCTTGCAGATACTGGGTTACTTTGACTATGCCTTCACAGCCATCTTTACTGTTGAGATCCTGTTGAAGGTAATGGCTTTTTCCTTGATCTTTACATACTCCACAGCAGCCGTAGCAATAATAGTTGCACTTCTTTGTTTACCTTCCAGATGCTAGGTTACGCAGACTATGTCTTCACTGGTACTTTTGCATTTGAGATCATTTTAAAGGTAACAGGTTACCTGACAGTGTGTTTAAGGGCTGCTCCTGTGTGTGAGACACAGGACAGAAGTGTGAAGTGCTTTTGACTTTTTTTTTTTCTTTTTGTCTTTTGTGGTTGGGCTAAGTTTTTTTGGTTTTTTAAAACAAAGGATTTTTTTTTTTTTCCTGTGACCATTCCAACTTGTTTTTGCTCTTTCTTTTTAACCTTTGAATGCATGTAGGAGCTACTTTGGCTTTTTGATAGTGGTTGAGAATTATATTTTGCTCCTTTAAAAAAAATACCCTCTGGAGTTTGTTCACTGATAACAGATATATCACTTTGTGTGAACTTTTTTCCACCATTTCTGACATCAAAGTCAGAGGAAAAGCATTTATTCTATGAAGAGGATGTCTCTCTTTTCATTTCTCTGACTGCATTATGCTTTTGGGGGCCTAAAATAGTAACACACTATTTTCTTGCAATAGGATTTGCAAGATGACTTTGGTCTATTTGTGTTAAGGTATTTTCTGTTTGTTTTAATGGATGGGCTTACATTTACACAAGAGGAGGACCCTTTGGCTGGGGTGACCTAAATGTACTGCCCATGCATGAGCTAACAGTTGACATTGCTGCATGTGGTTTGTGTACTGACTGAAGGCTGCTCCATGGGGAGCCCATTCCTTATGTGCTTAAAGTGCTGGAGACCACAGAAGGCCTCCAAGAACCTTTCTAAAACCAGCCAAGGACCACAGGGCATAGGTCATTGTGGTTCTGGGAGAACAAGGCCCATGAGAACTGTCAGGGCAGCCATCTCCTTCCAGGGAAACAAGCTGGGAAATGAAGACTTTCAACCATGGTTTTCTTTAAGCCATTGGGGGATTTTTGTGTGTGCAACTCTGGCACAATGCATTTTTTACTGGACTACTGTGGAACTTTGGCTCTTTACAAAATCATACGTAAAATGAAACCTCAATTAACGTCGTCAGGGAATGTTAGTTTTTTTAGGTTGGTGTTTTATTTTTTGGTTCATGAAACAGCATGAAGCCAACCAACTTCTGTTTACACCTTTCCTAAAAGTCTTGTAAAAATTTAAGTTCATTTTCCTGCCTTTAATCCAATGAGTTTGGTTGACAGTTCTCCTAAGTCAGAGGCATGCGGTGGGCAGTGACCAGCTCTTGTTGACGGGGCCTCCATGGGAGGGCCTGTGGATGCAGAATGCACAGTGGTGGGGGTCGGAGGGGCGCTGCCAGAACACTCACTGGCTCGGCTTCTGCCTCAGCTTCTTAGTTTTAGAATTTGACTTCTTTTCAGTGTGAATGGGGGAAATGTTCTACTTAGTCTGTTAGCCTGGTTAATTGAGGTTTCATTTTACTCTCCACATTTTTAGGTTGTTAAATGAATGTAGTTATTCGTAGGCTTTGGGGAAACTTAGACACAGGATTATTTAAAAGGAAAAAAAATGATTGTCACTTTTTAATTTCTGAAGAACTGCTTCACTGACTTAAATCTTCTGAGTCATGCTTCGTTTTGAAGGTATTTTAGAGAATGGAAAATAAGCTAAAACAAGAAGGATTCAGAAAACGGAGACTCATCAAGAAGTGTCTAACATCTGAGATGATGGCTCCTGGTGGCCTTGGGGAGATTTGGAAGGCTGTTTGGTCATTTGGTTAAGCCCTGTGAAAATGCCATTTTTGTAGGTCAAAAAGGGGTTGAACACTGGCGATTTCATAAGGTTCAATGTAATGTTTTCCACCCCACCTCTCTCAGACTGTACTTACCTGAGCCTTCTCCAACCTTTCTTATTTCAAAATAAATAGTGAGCTCTATGTATTTTGCTATTTTTACTTTGGGGAACTAAACTCTTTTTCCATCAACAATAGAAATCTCACTGGAGCACCCATAGTAAGTGCTGCAGATGCATGTGGCATGTGAGCACAGAGCTGTGGGACTAGCTCAGGGGAGATGCTGCCTGGCTTCCTGGCCACACCAGGCACATGTAATCAGACTTTGAGGAGCTGTTTAAGATGGATGTGTCGTTAAAGACCATTAGGAACACCAAGGGATCTGTGTGGAAAAGTCATGTAGGTACCTAGAGGCTGGGAGCCCTGAATTCACCCCCACACTGGGAAAGCTTCACTGAAACAAGATAGGCTCTACCAGGGCCTCAGAGAGGCCAGAACCAGTTCTTTGTGAAGAAATAGGCTGTCTGGGCAGCTCTTAACCTTTTGACGAATGTAGTCATGTGGAGCCTTTCTTGAGACAGGCTCTTTGCACATGCCAACAGTGTATTCATATTTGAAACCTATGTTCTCTGTAAGAAAGGCTAAATTAGTTTCGTCTTTTAAAATGTATCCAAAATAAGCTGCCCCTTTTTAATTTTTGTTTGAACAAATTATCCAGTGGCTCAGCCATTGGTTTACACTTGATTCCTAATGTGCACTTGTTAACGAAGTCATACGTTCCTCAGGATTTTGTAAAGAGCCCAGGTTCCTTTTCCTCTGAAGACAAAAAATGGTAAATCTCCCATGATTCTGCTTCTAGATGACAACTTTTGGAGCTTTCCTCCACAAAGGGGCCTTCTGCAGGAACTACTTCAATTTGCTGGATATGTTGGTGGTTGGGGTGTCTCTGGTGTCGTTTGGGATTCAGTAAGTATTCTGGGGTGTGTACCCAGAGCTGCTGGGCTGAATGATGTGTGCATGGACTTTCAGCATCATTGATAAAGGCTGGGCATCATTTTCATGATTATATTTAATTACATAGGTTTATTTATTTTGCTCCCATTTCAGAAAGCATTGAGACAATCATGTTTTCTTGTTTTGTTTTGTGTGTGTGTGTGTGTGTGTGTGTGTGTCCCTGCTGCTAGGTTGAGCTTATTACTCTCTCTGTGAAATTTGCTTTCAACTGAGGTGAAAGACGTCTTGACTAGGAGGGAGGTAAGCCAGGTTCTAGTTCTGGTTCCTCCAAAGGCTGATCCCAGGGCCTTGAGGGTACCCTTCCTCAGGAACCTGTTCCCCTTTTATATAGGAGGGGCTGGGCCAGGTGGCCTCTCAGTCCTTCCAGCTTGGGTGGAGAACTTTCTTTGATTTTCAGGATATAGAACCTGCTAGGACCTTTTAGTTGGCCTCTGGAATTTTTCCGCTAAGAGGGAGCCAATGCTGAAAGTCAGGGCCCTGGGTCTTTTCCATGGCATTTGGGGATTTCTGCTGGAGACAGCCATTGCTGAGTACTGCCTGCCATCCCCAGAGGTGTGGGGCAGAGGCCCCAGTAGAGCATCAGGTGTGGCCTTGCTTTCCTACTGACCTGTGAGCACTTCTGTTCAGGTGCTGAACATAGAATATCCCCCATGTGAGCACACCTGCACACACATGCCCTCTAAGCTAAAGAGAAGTGGAAAAGACCTACCTTCCTTGGAAGACCAAGAACCTCTGCCTGAAACAGCCCTCTGTGTTATCCTCCTCGCCTCTCACTGAGGGAGCCCTGTGGTCATAGCCTAGAGGGCTATTTGCATTAACATCTTTGTAGCTCCTGTGAGCTCCTGTGAGCACCCAGACTGTTCATGTTCTCTCCAGCTGCAGCCTTGCCCACTTCTTCCTGAGTATGTGCTCTGGCCACACTCAGCCATCTGGGGTGCAACAGAAAGCTGCATTCTCTTGTGTCGCATCCTTGTACGTGCTGCTCCCTCACACGGGAGCCCCCTCCCTATTATCCTGGCTAACCCCTGCTCCTCCTTTGGGACTCACCTGGCTATCACCTACCACACCCCAGAGTCCTTCCTAGGCTCCCCCACTGCCCCCACACGTTGTGCTCCCCTGGCTGAGCATACTGCATTTACCACATCGTGTGCCACACTGAATTGGGATTGCCCATCTCTCCACCAGACTCTGAGCTCCTTGAAGGCCAGAGAAGCCCTGGTGCCAAAGTGCTGCAGCAGGCCTCCAACCTTAAACAAGAGCAAACAGTATGTGAAGCCTAAAAGCCAAGTACCTTTCATTTATAGTGAGTGGAAAGAACAAAGCAAGTTCATGAGTAGTGTCTCGGCCTAGGTCAGCTGTGCACCTGTCAGAGCCTTTGTGAGCGCCACAGGCTGGGCTTGGGAGGTGCTGCCTAGTGTGGGTGGGGAGGAGACATTGCCTGTGAGTTGTGGAGAGAGAGCAGCTCAGTACCACATGGATCCCGTGCTAACCGCGTAGGGATACTACAGCGAAGGTCCAGTGAAATGGTGAATCTAAAGGCATCCTGCCTATTTATAACACGCTCTGCCTGCCGTCTTTCTGCTCCTTCCTTAGATCCAGTGCCATCTCCGTTGTGAAGATTCTGAGGGTCTTAAGGGTCCTGAGGCCCCTCAGGGCCATCAACAGAGCAAAAGGACTTAAGGTTTTGATTCCTCTCCTCCAGGCTGGGCTGGCTTGGGTTGGGGTTGGCTGTAATTACTGGCTCTTCTGGGCAAAGATGAGCTGAGGCCTGATGGATTTTTAAAGTGGGTTATAAGGACCTTTCTGACCAGTTCAGCCACCTGTGCCAAGTGCTAATGGCATTTTTAAATTATGATTTATTTTCTTTATTTTTGGTAATTGAAGATATTTTTCTTTATAATTATTCATTTATTACCTTTTTATTGGTAGTTCTTTGTGTTTAGTTTTTCAGTTTTCATGCAGACTGTACATAAAAGGCTACTGGGTTTCTTTTTTCCTCAGTCATTTATGGAGTGGGGACCCTTTGGGTCCATGTGCTAGGCAGCACTGCACATGTACCTGTAGCATTTCTTTTTCTTTTTTTTGAAATGAACTCTTGCTCTGTCACTCGGGCTGGAGTGCAGTGGCGTGATCTTGGCTCACTGCAACCTCCACTTCCTGGGTTCAAGCAATTCCTCTGCTTCAGCCTCCCAAGTAGCTGGGGTAACAGGCATCTGTCACCCCACCTGGCTAATTTTTGTATTTTTAGTAAAGATGGGTTTTCACCATGTTGGCCAGGCTGGTCTCAAACTCCTGACCTCAAGTGATGCACCCGCCTCAGTCTCCCAAAGTGCTGAGATTCCAAATGTGAGCCACTGCTCCCAGCCAACATAGAAACTCTTGGCTGCTGTTAGCTCACCTCAAGGCCAAAATCACGAAGGAGAGTCACGCCCCTCTGTCCTCTCTGCAGCATGTGGTCCAGTGCGTCTTCGTGGCCATCCGGACCATCGGCAACATCATGATCGTCACCACCCTCCTCCAGTTCATGTTTGCCTGTATCGGGGTCCAGTTGTTCAAGGTAGAGGCACTGCCTCTGAGCAGAAAGCCCAAGTGGATTTCTTTAAGGAGAAGCTGCATTGACTTGACTGCCTGTCTGCTCTCTACCCAGGGGAAGTTCTATCGCTGTACGGATGAAGCCAAAAGTAACCCTGAAGAATGCAGGTGAGTGCCCTGAGAGTGGAGTGATCAACTTGGAAGAGCAAATAGAAGACTTCAAGGATTCACACATGTTGGCACTTCAGAAGTTTTTCTCATGAACTAAAACAGGACTGTGTGCTCAGCCTGTGGGTGGATAGATGGTGTTTGTTTTTCATTGAGGTGAAATTCACATAACATAAAAATCAACCGTTTTCAGTATACAGTTTCTCAGCATAGAGTATCAGTGCATTGTTGTGCTACCCACACCTCTATCTAATTCCAAACTTTTTGTCATCCCAAAATAAGGGATAGATGGCTTTTGTGGTAGAGAATGTATAAATGGCGGGAGTTGGGGGAACCCTTAAATGACAATTATGAAATGCCCCAAATAGCTTCCATGACAGCCACATGGATGATTTCCCCCAAATCAGAACTTGAAACTCAACTGCCTGGTGTTTGGGAGCTGGCTCCCTCTTCTGATGCATATTCCAGACTTCCTTTCTCCTGGGTCCCATTACCTACATCTTGGCTGTACTTCCATAGACAAGAACTGGCAGAGGAGAGAGAGGTGGGAAATACTCATGCCTCCCATTCCAGGATGTCCAGTGACCATGAAGGCATTCATGGAAGCCATTGCCTAAAGGTTCAGCCTCTGCAGAGGCCTGTGTCTCCCCACCCATTGGAGATGTAACTGACTGGGCTCTGGCCGACTATGTGCTTACATTGGTTTGGGGTTTCTTTTAAGCAGAAGGTGCAGTCAGAGAGCACCAATTGCAACTTGGCTGTGTCTCTCTACCTCCAGAGGCACCGTTCATGCAAGCTGTGGGGTGCATGGCAGCCCTGGAGGTGAGCAGCCTAGCAGTGGCGTGGGGACCCTGTCCTTTCTCTCTCGAAGCCTCTGTGTCTTTATTTATAAAATGAAGACATTGTGCTTTATCTCTTGGGTTCCTTCCAGAAATGAAGTTCTGTGAGAAATAGTTTGCCAGAAATAATGGAATTCTTTTGGAAAGAAAATTGGGAGTGTCATTAGTAAGAAAAGAAAGGGATTTGATTAAAACTAAAATGCAGGAAGAATATACATAGGCTCGTTTCCCAGAATTTACAGAGTTCTCTGTGGCCGAGCTTAGATCCTTCAGAGCACGCCTCAAGCCATTGTGTATGAGATGTAGTCACGTTGCTGTGGTTTTTATCAACCAATGAATGGATGCCCAGTGTCTGTCTGGCTGCTCTGGAGAATACACATTGCACTGGTAGTTATTCAATGGTTATTTGAGCTGCAAAGTAGATTAAATGCAGGGCAAGGAGAGGAGAAACAGCGCCAGTGTTACACTCAGCTGTGTGAATGGCCGGCAGACTGAGCGTGACCTGCCTCAAGTTGGGATCGGGGCAGTGTGACCAACTTTATGCCGCTTCCACCTGTCATGTGTGAAGCCAGGCGACCCATACCTGTTTTCCTCTCCAGGGGTCTTTTCATCCTCTACAAGGATGGGGATGTTGACAGCCCTGTGGTCCGTGAGCGGATCTGGCAAAACAGTGATTTCAACTTTGACAACGTCCTCTCTGCTATGATGGCGCTCTTCACGGTCTCGACATTTGAGGGCTGGCCTGCGTAAGTACAGGGAGCACGCAGTCTTCTGGGGAGGCGCCTGCGTGCCCAGGGCTGAGCCCTCTCTCCTGGAGTCAGTCCCATTTCTGTTCCCCAGTGTCGCAGGCTTGCCCTGTGGCTTTTTAACCTTGGGCCACTTCTTAATCACTTATTGACCCACAGGGCCTCTTTCTGCATAGGCAGATGATTGGTGAAGAGGGGATAGTAGAGGTGCCAGGCAGCATCTCTGGGTGGGAGCAGGGAGACGTGAGAGGCCTCAGTCTTGTGAACTCCCACTGGTAGCCATGTCAAGAAAGCTGCCATCTGCTGCTCCCAAAGAGAGTCTGGATGGTGTCCCAAACCCTTCCCTCCTTCCTTCCCTCCTTCCCTTCCTCCCTCCCTCTTCCTTCCTTCCTCCCCTTCCTCCCTCTTCCTTCCTTCCTCCCCTTCCTCCCTCCCTCCCTCCCTCCCTTCCTTCCTTCCTTCCTTCCTTCTTCCCTTCCTCCCTTCCTCCCTTCCTCCCTTCCTCCCTTCCTCCCTTCCTCCTTCTTCATACTAATATGTGCCAGGTGCAGACAGTTGCTGTTGTGCCATCTGTTTTATGGAGCCACTCACTCACTCGCTCACTCACAGACTGTGCTGCGCAGAGGCATGTGTCTCCCCACTCGTTAGAGATGTCTGTCTGGGCTCTGGTTGACTGTGTGCTTAGATACCAGCTCCGTGCAACATGGCGTGTTAGGCACTGTGGAGGAAACAGTGTCTAAACATGCTTCCTCCCCTCACGCACAAATCTAATCAGTGTCAAGTGGTCAAACCAGGCAGGTGGTCTGATGTATTCTAGATGTGCAGAACAGGGTCCTGAAGAGTGGCTAGGATATTGGTGAGTAAATTAAAAAGAGCGGGTAAGGAGAAGGTCAAATTCAAAAGGGAGAATCCTCTGCACCTTCCTGTTGCTCTCTGCTTCTGTAGCTCCCACCCCCAACTCCTGTCATCAGTGTACAAACACGCCTAGAGTCCTGGATGCGTGATCCCCCTGCGTAGATGAGCTGCAGGAGGCTGACAGGCTGGGCCTTGCAGGCCAGCAGAGCTCTTGGGGTGTGGATAAGAGTCAGAGAGATTTTCAGGAGCTCCTGTGGGATAGACAGTCAGATGGGGCTTGTCCATTAGGGATTTAATCCCGGGAGAATAGAGGCATGGAGTAAGGCCCTTCACTGTGTGCAGGCACTGGCTATAGTGTCAGGCTTTGAACACTGTGTTTGAGCAACTCATGATGGGAGCTGAGGAGAAAGGAGCAAACCTGGGACTTGGGGCTTGGAGGAACTGGCCCAGCTCCTGGCTCTGCCCTCAAGGAGTGTGACGTGGCACTTTGATCCCTCCCTGAATGCTTGTATGATGGGGATGACAGTAAAGTCTGCCATCCCAGATGGATGTAAGGATTAAGGAGAGGCTGTGAAAGTGTCTACGCTGCACATGGGCTGGGCCTGCAGACGTGTGGAATCTGCATCAGAATGGGGCTTATCAGTGGACTTTGCATATCTTTAATTTTAGCTCATATCTCCATTTGGGGAAGCACCCTTAGTTCTTTGAAAATACTCTGGTCACTTATTAACCTGCCGATGTGTGTAGTTTCACTTCCTCCAGTGTCTTACATGCGATACTCTTCCTCTCTGAATAGAAAGAGGCATTTTAGAATATTTGTGAAATCTTTGGATTTTCAGGTCCTCAGCATAGTCCCTCAATGATGATATCCCAGGTGCCCCCTCCTCTCGGTGCTGGCCATCTGGGTCTGAGGCTGAGGGAGAGACCTGGCTATATCCAGTGGCCCTGGGGTGGGTGCTCAGCGAGTGCTCCTGAGAGGAGCTCAGGAGAGGAAGGACCTGGGACGGCAGTGGGCTGGGCTGCTTGGGCTGAGGGGCTTGGAAGGTCCTCACTTAGTTTTTCTGTCTTTAGGTTGCTATACAAGGCCATCGACTCGAATGGGGAGAATGTCGGCCCAGTCTACAACCACCGCGTGGAGATCTCCATCTTCTTCATCATCTACATCATCATCGTGGCCTTCTTCATGATGAACATCTTTGTGGGCTTTGTCATCGTGACATTTCAAGAGCAAGGAGAAAAAGAGTATAAGAACTGTGAGCTGGACAAAAATCAGGTTAAAGTCACACACTGTTTGGGCTTCTGTCCCTTGATCAGGAGTGGAGGACCTCCTTTTTTGACTGATTTACCCCAGGCCCAGAGAAGGGTGCCCACATACCGTCTGTCCCTGGGGCTGCAGCCCTGTTCTGAGCACACCCTCAGCCCATCTGAGTCGTCACTACTGAGTGTTAGGTTTCCAGATACAGATGAGACTTTGCAATCGTGAAATCCATCCCCAGACCTGGTGGTATGAAATCAGAGAGTGCTTACGTCACCTACCATGGTCATGACCCACTAGTGATGGCTCAGAATCTTAGTTGGGGTGCTGTGGCCACTCACGTAGACACTCACAGTCCATACTGGGAGAGTCTTTAAAGCCAGTTAGGGTGGAGTTTATTGCCCTTGGTGCTGTTAGCATTTCAGGCTGGGTGGTTCTTGGTGTGTTTCCTGGGCTTTTTAGGCAGTTTAGCAGCATCCCTGGCTTTTACCTCTTAGATGCCAGTGGTTCCTCTGCCCCCGGTAGCAGTAATCAAAATGCCTCCAGACATTGCCAAATGTCTTTTGGGGGGCAAAGTTGCCCCTTGTTGAGAACTGCTGATGTAGAGGGAAATACACTACACCACCTCAGGGGAGTCAGTAACTTTGAATTTGGGACTAAGATTGTACTGGCATCATTCTTGATCTGTTTTAGCCAATCTGGTAGAAGTAGGAGCCTTTTGCTCTGGTGATGTGGTGAGGGGAGAGCCCTGTGCTCCTAGCTGTCTTCCTGCACCTACACTGTGAACCCACGGGGGCTTGATCCCTCATCTCTAAATCGAGGCCATTAAGGAACTGCTCTTTAGAGATTCCTTTCAGCCCTGAAAGAGTCGACAAGATTGAGATTCTGTTCTGGGAGTCTCCCCAGGTCCTCTATCAGTAGCATCTCTGTTTTGATGATGACATCGCAAGCAAGAATGATCTGTAGCCTAGACTTCCTGAGGGGAAGTGGCCCTAGCATGGCAAAACAGTCTGTTGCACAGCTGGCTCTGCCTACTGGGGGAAATGCGAGGACGTGCTTGCTTGGTTTGCAGGAAGATTTTCCTTTGAGTTGTCAGGGTGTCCCTGCAGACTCTACCAGTGACTGTCCGGGAGAGATCTAGCCTGGCTGTTTGCTCACCCAAGGAAGACGAGTGTTGGGGCAAGACCCAGGCCAGCCATGCACAGTCAGTGCTGTAAGTGTGTCAGCCTTTGAGGTCTAGCGCAGGCTTGAATCGGGGGTCCCTGGAGTCAGCAAGTGAGGTCAGAGCAGTGCCGGGTCCCACACACAGGGAGCTTGCGCAAAGTCTGCATCTGGAGTCAAAGTAGAAGAGTAGGTCTAGGGTCTCAATGCTGAGCTGAGGGCTCTTGGGGCCAGAGGCTCCCTCTGGGTCTGCTGTAGAGGGTGGACCAGCTCTACTGCCCAGAGTAAATGAGAAAGACAGTGCTCCACTGGGCCCTGACCTATGTTCAATCCAGCTGTCACTACTGACCACATCCTAGAAAATCTGAAATGAACACAAGTTCCCCAGCCCCAGAAGCTTCCCGATGAACACGTAGGCAGCACCCCATAAGATATTTATTGTTAACATATTCTGGCTCCTGAGGGGTATCTTGTGTGGATCCCACTAGAGGGAGTGAGCCAGCCCCTCTAGTTATTGTAAGTTTCTGTTCGTGTGGTTACTTGGCTTCCTTTCCTGGAGGACAGCACAGGAACTATAGGCATGATCCATCTATAGATCCTCCACAGGCACGATATAGAGGAAAGGCAGTGACAAGGCCTAGACCCAGTCCTCACTCCTCTGCTTGTCTATACACTGCAGGGCCTCAAGAAAGACAGCTAAAAGCTCTGAGCCCCAGTTTTTAGTAAGCAAAATGGAGGCCACGTGGATAGGTACCCAACTTACCCCGAGGTTGCTGGGAGGGTCAGACAAGGTAATGGAGGCAGGGCCCTCGGTGACTCAAGAGTGGTGCCAGTGCCAGGAGGGGGGTCACTCGTAATCATTTTCACCACTGTCCATGGCCCCTTCCCAGGAGCTGCAGGGTGAGCTCTTTCAGAGCAGATGACCATGGGGTCCTCCTTCCCTGGAAGTGCTCAGAACCCCGTTTCTGCCCTTTTCTGCTGTTGCAGCGTCAGTGTGTTGAATACGCCTTGAAAGCACGTCCCTTGCGGAGATACATCCCCAAAAACCCCTACCAGTACAAGTTCTGGTACGTGGTGAACTCTTCGCCTTTCGAATACATGATGTTTGTCCTCATCATGCTCAACACACTCTGCTTGGCCATGCAGGTAAAAATGGAGACAGCTGTGGGGATCAGGTCCGGGCATTCCGCACAGCCCCGTGCCCCAAATGCTGAGGGTGGAATGCTGCCCCTCACAGGAGGGGTTTGATTTTTCTGATGAGTCTGGGCTATAGGTTGGCCAGAGTTCCATTCTGGCTAACAGTTGTCACGGTAGGAGTTTCTTTTGTTGAAGAAATTATCTGTACAGCACAATGGCAGGTAACATTTCCATGGAGCCTGGCAGTGGGGCTCAATTCTAGAATCAGTTACCATGGGCCTCCTGTGGCCAGGTAGTGGCTGAGGACTATAGCTCCGGAGATAGACAGCTGTTTCAATCCTGATTTTACACTGATTTTTCTGTGACTTGGGAAAACTTGCTTAAATTCCCCAGGCCTTGCTTTCTTTATTGGTAAAATGGGGAAATATGTCACATCTACCTTTGAGATAAGGTTTATGCTATAGATAATTCCTCTCAGGCACTTTGTTTTTTATTTTTTGTTTATTTTTGTTTTTGAGGCTGAGTCTTACTCTGTAGCCCAGGCTGGAATGCAGTGGCATGATCTCAGTTCACTGCAGCCTCCGCCTCCTGGGTTCAAGCAATTCTCATGCTTCAGCCTTCTGAGTGTCTGAGATTACAGGCATGTGCCACCATGCCTGGCTAAGTTTTGTATTTTCAGTAGAGACAGGGTTTCACCATGTTGGCCAGGCTGGTCTTGAACTCCTGACCTCAGGTGATCTGCTGCCTCAGCCTCCCAAAGCGCTGGGATTACAGGCATGAGCCACTGCCCGCAGACCTCTCAGACACTTTGATCTGGGCTTGTCACAGAGTAACACTCAATGTTGGAAAACAAAACGTAAGTCACACTCCTGTCCTCAAGTGGCTCTAAGCATGGCAGCAGGGAATTTTCCAGTTGATGAAGTGTTAAGTTTGACGTGAGTTACAGCTCCTTCTTACTTCAGTGAGGGCAAGAAATGCAATTCACTTTAATTGGCCACGTCAGATTATAGTGTGGTATTAACAGTGAGCGTTTTCAAAAATTACATTGCCTGGTAGATACTGCATGAGAACAGGAAGCAAAGACCAAGGTGTAGAGCCAGCTTTTGCACTGACCTTGAGAACTCCAGCACATCAAACCAGCTCTCTGTGCTGTCTGGACAGTAGGTCTAAAGATAGGGATACATTTTCTGGCCTTTTGCTTTATCTAAGAGTTCTTTTTTTAATGAAAAGGACCGTGTGCTGATGTAGGGAAAAGCGTAAAGTCAAGAAAACACTGCCTTTTATTCAACATAAACCTACGTGGCATCAAATTTATCCCTAACCAAATTCTACCTTTATTCATAGACATTTTGGTGGTATCTGCATTGTGCTCTGGTCAAGGCCCTGAACATAAAGCCCTGCCAGAAGAAAGGGTGAATTCCCTTTATCCTGAGCAGAGGAAATGGATATGTTTCCCCCTTCATCATTCAATCATCCTCATCTTGTCACAGACCCCCTGCACTTGGTGGGAGTTCACCACGTGACCTTGCAATGCCCGCAGAATTGCCGGGCGAGGGTGCTGGGCTGTGGAGGATGCCCGCAGGGGCACAGAGGGCTGGGAGCCTCCGTGTGCATGTGAAATCATGGCCGAGGCTCTGAGAATGGTCCCTCTGTCTTCATCCATAGCACTACGAGCAGTCCAAGATGTTCAATGACGCCATGGACATTCTGAACATGGTCTTCACCGGGGTGTTCACCGTCGAGATGGTTCTGAAAGTCATTGCATTTAAGCCCAAGGTGAGTTGCAGAGCCCGCTTTTCAAACTCTGTTGCTGAGTCACCCTAGAGAAGTACCCACTTCCTGTTACTCTTGTGTTACCGAATTAGGCTAAGTTGTTCTGGACGCTAACTGGGTTACCACCTGAGAACATTAAAATCTGATTAAGTCCTGTGTGTACATATGGGAAAATGAATCTGCAAAAACAAAACCTCATGAGAACAATTCTGAGAAACAGAAGAAGGGACATAGAATTGGAAATCTATAAACTGGAGATTATTTTGAAAGCCAGTTATCTGTTTGTAGAATAGTACGTATCATGCTGTGTCAGGGCAACTGCCTCATTACTTGAGCACTGGAGAAAATGTTTGAACATTAACCCATCAGAGAGAATTTGACCCTGATTATATTTTGAGATATCTAGAGACTTTGGTTTTGTTTGTGCCTGGTCCACAGCATCCTTTTTACCCTTTGAGGAAAGTTCTGGTGCTAGCTGCAGACATTCCACAGCCACCCCATCTTTTGTTTGCTAATCGAGAAAAATTTCACTTGACTTTAACCCAAAATAAAACATGAAATGTGTTCAGCTGTGCTGAGTGTCCCCTCCCAAAGGGGACGTTCAGCATGTTGTCTCCGCTTTGGGAGGGAGTGAATTCAGTTCCCCAGTTGTCAGCGGCTGCCGGGTAAGAGGCAGTGTGGATCAGTGTCAAATTGCACAGCTGTGAAACTGAACTGCATTCAAACCTCTGCTCTGGCACTTACAGCTGAAACATGTTCCTTACTTCTTTGTGCCTCGACTTCCTCACCCATAAAATGAGGATGCGAATAGTGCCGTTCCATGGGGTTGTCATGAGGAGTGAAGAGTTCCCATATGCGCACTTCTTAACAGAGTGCCTGGCGTGTAGCGCCACGCTCTGCAGACTGGTGGCCACCCCTTCTCCTAACCACCCCTATACCCTAACCCTCATCATCATCAAGCAAAGATGTTCCCTCATTCTAAAACCCTAGACAGAGGAACCATACCAAGCTGAAATGTGGGATATTTGGCTCTCAGTTTCTTCCCCAGTACAGCCAAAAACTCTCAGAGTTAAAGATGACCGAGTTCAGTGACCCAGTTAGTTATCTGTGTGTAAGGTATCTGACGACACTGATTTAATTAAGTTAGACATGGATTGTGAAATGGATGGTTTCACATACTCCACAGTTACATGATATTCTAATTCCAAACTGTTCCTTTCTTTAATTTGAATTAATCTCTATACAATCTTTATCAGATCTTTGTGGACCAAAAAGAAAGGACATTTGTAAGTGATTAATTGGGGTGATTGCAGTGGGGTCAAATTTGGCACCTTATGCATGGCCAGATGTTACTATCTCCTGTGACTTGTCCATATCTACATACATAAACATTTCCTCCTCTTCCAAATTCATCTTAATTTTCTTTGAGATTTTGGTTTGCTTCCCTCTGACCTTTACTTCTTTGAACAATATTTGTCTGGACTGATGGAAAAGGTTGCAAAGTAAGCATCGAAGGTACTTGAGAAATGCAACATGGAACCTCTCTGTGGAACATTTCCCATGAACCTGGGCCATGTCTTTCCTTGCCAGGTGATTAAGCTCTGAAGCATTTGAAAGTTGTTCCAGGCTGAAGAGAAAGCGCACTCACCCATGGTGTGTGTGTATGTCTGTGAGCGCGTACGTGCACGTGTGTGTGTGCATGTGTGTGCTCATTCCCTTCAGAAGTCCAGTGCATTGACAGCCCAGTAGTACACCGTTCAGTAGGCTGACAGCTGCCCAGAAGATCTCCAAACCTAGGAGGAGAGTTCAGTGGCGTGTGAACAGACGAGCGATACCAACGGGAAATGAGTAGCTAAGTTATAATCAGTACTGATCAGAGTTTTTAAATAGTTGGTTTCCGCTAGAAACTGTGCTGCTTGTAGTTTTACTCAGCAGGGTATCTTCATAGCAGCAGACCTCACATTCCAATTGGGAGAACTGTTAAGACAGTAGCAGCAGCATCTCCACACTTGAAGAGTGCTGTCACCACACTCCCCTGGTCCAGGGAGGTGGAGTTTATACCATGTGCCTAGATGATTGGGAGAGAATCAGTTCACCAAGAAGCAATGCTCTCCTTAAAATTTTTCTGTCCTTTTTTTCTTGTTCTCTTTGGTGTTCACAAGCTCAGCGCAGGCAAGTGGTCTTTCACAAAGAAGCCAGGGAGGCCTCCTACCTCCTGGTCAGTGAGGTAGTCGGACTGAGGAGCAAGGTTGCTAAGGCTGCAGAAGGAGGAATATTCTGAGGAGGTGGCCACATGGGACCCCAGCCTCATCTCAGGAGAGCCTTTGTCTCATGGGAGGAGCTTTGTAACAGGGTCCCTCACAGCAGGGTTCTCCACCGAGTCAGGCTGGGAGGACTTGTCAGCATCTCTGTTATGGGACACAGGGTGGCAGGGTTTCCGTTGTTTCATAACGTAAATATAGAAAGTGAGGTAAGACAAAATCCTTACTGGTATGAGAAGGCATTTTGAGAGGGAAGGGTTAAAGAAAGTTGAGAAATCTGACCTTAAGGGCTTAAGGTCAGATTCCTTATATTTAAGGTCAGATTTCTTATATTTCCTTATATAAGGGAGCCTGATGGAGAAACTGGGCCACCTAAGAGAGCATCTTTAGAGGGAAATGCCCAAGGCCATGGGAGATGAGGTGACCCAGCCTCTGCTGCCCAGGAGGAAGGTGGGAGGGGGACAGAGGGAGGAAACCCAGCACTGGGAGCCTCTGCCATGGAAGAGGCCATCTTATTGCACGGAAGGAGGTGTTTTGGAGCACTGGTCAGGCAAGAGTTGGGAGCCGAAGTGCAAAAGCATTTGGAAAAAGCAAACAGGTGACTTAGCTGGTTGTGAGTTCCCAAAGGGAAAGTCCACCAACTGGGCATTGACCTGGTGCAGCCTAGGTTATGCTTTCAACTTGGAATCAACCGGGCCTCTGTAGGGTTTTCAAAAGCAGGCCCTGGTTTAGGTGAGACATAAGCCCCGTTCTCCTAGCCTTTCCCTCCAGCTACTGGAATTCTCTGACAAGTTCTCTTGGTGCAAGGAGGAAGAGTGACTAGGAGGGGCCTTTTTCAAAGTCCTGGCTACAGCAGGTATAGAGAGCAGTTCTGTGGAGCAAGAAGAGCCTCGTCTGAGATTCCCCCTTTGTGGGATGTGACTTAGCGGGCGTTTCGCCCAGGCTGTGCTCTAGGGCAGGCTGCTTGCTACAGTTGCCAGCCTTCTCCAGTGAGCCATACTTTGTTCCCATCTTATCCTTAAAGCGTTTTGATCTTGATTCTATCCTGAAAATATACTAATTTACACTCCTAGCTACTTGGGCTGGAAAAAGTAAGGAGAAATTAGGTTTGGGAAAAGAATAAAGTATTTTGGTACTGTCCTCGTGCTGCTGTGCAGAGCTGTTGCAGGATGGGCACTGAGTCCTCCCGTCCCACCTGCTTTCGAGGGTTCTGTTACCTGTTCCAGGGTCTGTTGCAGGAGGACTGCTTCTTCCTCATCTTCCTAGAGTACCTGTTCCACCTGCTGGAGAGAAAATTTGATACTGTTTTTCTTTCAGTTCTTCATGACTACATCTCTTCTAGGAGATTTCTTTTTAAGGGCAAATAATAATTGAAACCAAATATTACTGTCCTTAGAACTTTACATTGGGCTTCTTGTTAGGATCCATCCTGTCCTTTTGTCATCGTGGTTTCCCAGAGCCCTCTCCTGGTTCTCTTCTTGCCTTGTAAGGTCATACATGCCAGAGCTTCAATGGCCGCCTCTGCAGCATGCGGACCTGCACTGCCCTTCTCTCTCCTGAGCTACTATGCCTGCCTGCCTTTAAAATGATCTCCCTGCCTGCCTCTGGCCTCAGCCCTTCCCCCTACTCCCTTTGTTAGCCCAAAGCTGACCCGATCACTCTTGCAGTGATTCTGGCACTGGCCATCTATTGCTTGAGAAAGTGTATGTGATTTCCTTAGTTAAATATTCGAAGTCCTCCATGAGGCACTGGCCTGTGTATATTTCTGCCTCATTTCCTGCCATGTCTTCCCTGCCATTTCTTCTTCCCCACCCCATCCCTGAGTGTTGGCATGCTAGACCTTTCCCTGACCATGTAATTCTGTCTGGAAGCCCTGCTTCCTCCTTGTTATCCTTGAGACCTGTGGGAAATGTTATCTCCTCTGAGACACCATCCTCACCAGCCCACCCAGAGACAGCTGTCTCCTCTGCTCCTGCAACTGTTGGGGGTGTACTATGTACCATTGTTATCAACGTGACTCCATGTCTGCCTCTCTGTTCTCTGGTGAGCAGCTGCCTGAGGTCTCAGACTGAGTCTTCTGTCTCTGGCTCTGCAGTGCTTCACGTCATGCCTGCTTCCTGGTGGTAGCTCAGTAAGATTGGTGGAATGAAGAAAGGAATAAAGGGATGATCCTGGAAGTGCAGCTTCTGGGCATGAGACAATACCTGCTTTTCTATCACCTGCTCCCTAAGAGAGCATATTTAGAGGGAAATGACCCAAGGCCATGGGAGATGAGATGATTCAGCCTCTGCTAGCCAGGAGGGAAGAAGGAGGGGGACAGAGGGAAACCCCGTGCTGGGAGCCTCCGGGATAGAAGAGGCCATCTCACTGCATGGGAGGAGGTGTTAGGGGACACAGGGTGGCAGGGTTTTGGTTGTTTCATAAAATAAATATAGAAAGTGAGGTAAGACAAAATCTGGGTGTCTGGGTAAAGCAGAGTGGAACACATCCTCCTTTATTCCCCTACTTACCTTTGGAAAGGCTTTTGCTAGTTAGAAAGCTGTCAGGCAGAGTTTCTACCACAAGTTGGCACTTTGGGTTATCACTTGGGTCAAATGCGACCCAGATAATCCCTGCCAGAAATGGGTAGGCGATCTGGCTGCCATGGTCAATGACAAAAGCACATTATTGATACAGGCTTTTTCCAATCTGCAGATGAGGGTGAAGCCAGACAGCAAAAGGAATCTGGACGTGGGTCACTTCTCTTGTTTCCCATTTGCAACCATTCCACAAACGTTGCCCCTTATCCTGTGCTGTATCCTGGCAAGAGGTCCACTAATAAGAGTCTCCTTCCAGAAGCCCACTGGCTGGCAGGAGACAACCATTGATGGATGGTGAGAATAGCGTTCTTTGAAATAATGATGCTTCCTGACTCTGAGGCCCACTTTAGTCTGGTTTATGATTTTAAATTTCCAGAGTCAGAAATGTTTCTGAGTAACACATTTACTGCATGTGGCTGACTTGCTTGGTCTTTTCAGACAGGTGGAGCTGTACACAAAAATCATAATAGATTTGACTACTGGTTCCACTTGAGAGGTCCTGGCCTCAGAATTCAGTTGTAGGAAACCGCGTGATCATAGGCCAAAAGGAGAGAGCAGGGAGGGGGGCCCTCTCTTAGGAGCTGTGTCTCTTCTTATGTCTTATCTACTGGTTACAAAGATAGTATGGTGCTTTGGTGGGAGAAGAGTGGGGGAACTGAGTCATGCCACTTGACAGTGATTTTATTAAACAAGACACTACTAGATAGGGAAACAGTATGTGGGAAGAAAGGGAAGGCTGGCATATTCTGCCTCCCCTGGACTCCTGTCAGAGCCACCTGGTCAGAGCCTGTGATTTCAGCTACCTGCCTCCTGCTTCCTAGATTAAGGGTGTCAACCTTCAGTCCATCAGTAATTCTGATTTGGGCACAATTTTGTGAGCGTGAGGGGTTTCTGGAGAAAGAGAGTCAATGAAGTTGCCAAAAACTTCCAAGACCCCAAGAAAATGTTAAGTCCTTATTGTGTTGATTTAAAGGAATTTTATCCATCACAGCACACCAGCATTGAAAATATCTTAGACGCTGATGCAAATGGCCCAAAGGGAGGAACACTGATAATTCTGTACAGAGGAAGAGAGGAGCTGTTCAGGAATAAAATCTCAAAGTCAGTGATAGAGGCCGGCCTCCAGCACCCACATGGTGGGTCTGGCCTCTGGGAAGCGATGTAAATAACAGAGAGGAGCAGCATACACGGTGCAGATGCAGGCAGGGCTGGGCACACACTGCAGACGCTGTGAAGGATGGATGCTGGGTCTCCTCTGCCCTGTCAGTACTCTGGAGGTCTAGTTGCTACTGGTGACCAAGTGTTTGATTATGGTATAAATTCCTCCCCAGAGGGGAGGGGAAGGATCACTGTGCTCTCTTTAGCTTTTGAGTTGCTCTGAACTCTGCGAAGAAAAGAGCAGGTTCTGCCCCCCAATTGTGGTCTGTGGCACTGCCACCAGTCAGAGAACTGCTTATTACCCGTTCACAACAGGGGGCATCAGCTGTAGCACTAAACACATTGATTCAGCTGGCTTTCTTGTTAGGAGACTTACTGGATGAAGGAGACTCTGCTGTGTTCCCTCACAACCTGAGGCTAGCTCTTGATCTTACCTCTGACTGCCAGTCTAGATCTCAAAGGCAGCCCATCTCTGCTCAGTTTTGCCAGCCAAGAATCATGAATTTATGCAAAGGAAAGCTAGAAAGTATAAGCTCTGCTGTTTTTAAAGTAGACCTTCTCATTAGACTTTTATACACAGATCTTCAGATTTGGGGCTCACAAGTTCCTTTTGTTGCTGAGAAAGAGGCCTGTGAGGGTAGCAGTTAGTGAGGGTAAAATGAGAGAGAGGCACTGTGATTGGAGGGCAGGCAGAGAGGTGAAGAGTGGGTTAGAAACCATGGCGGTTGCGTGGGGAAATCTTACATTATTAAGATGAAATGTAAGAAGCAAAGCCTTAGTCAGTGTCATAGCTCCCCCATAAATGCCCCAGGAGTGATGGATGGTGACTAGAATAAACATCCCTTCTCAAGTTGTTAGAACAGTCAGCACGTCCAGATCTTCCATACTGTCACAAAAGGCCATGGCTGTGCAGTGGCTTCTGCGGGGTCTGTGTTTGATCACAAGTTTCTGGGGCCTGAAACCTCCAAGTACCTTTCATTCTGGTTTTCTTAATGTAGCACTAAATGCATCCAGTTTCAGGTATGCTGGGCCCCTCTGTATATCATTTGTACCTGAGTTTTCATTTCTAAAAATTGTCCAGACTTTTTGGAAAGATACAGTTGGTTTGTAGACAGAGTTGTTGATCTTGACAGTCAGTCCCTTGCCCCTTCCAGCTCTATGTGCAGTGCCTCCCCACCACCCTCTCCAATCAGGAGCGTCCCAGGGGTATTGAGAGACCGCAGGCACTAATTTAGCACCTGCTGTGCTGAGTCCAGAAGAAGATATAAAATGTCCAGCACATAAATGTAGATTTATAAGTCATAATTGTGGGGATGTTATACCCTCAAAATTGTTGCAAGATAGGAGGACCTAAACAAACAGCCAGACAAAGCTGGATGACAGTAGGGTGCAAATTGGTGGAAGAAGGAGACATCACATGTGCCAAGCACTGGCTGGGTTCAAGGCTCTGGCGAGATAATGGGATTGGTGGAGTTGGGGGGCTGAATATACAGCAGAGTCATCGTCCTTGAGGGCTTTTAGTTGGTAGAGCTGCAGACAAAGACCCCACGATCAGCGATCAGTAAGTAAGAGATTCAGAGTCAGTATGAGGGAGTGCTGACAGCTGGGGCTGGGAAGATTCCATCAAGGAGCATTTATCTGACCTTGAAGGAGGGTGAAGTTGAGCAGATGGAGTTGGGGTTAGGTGGTTAGGATCGCAGAGATGTCAGGAGGTGGGAAGGAACTTGGTGCTGTTTTTGAGGGATGGGACAGATTCCTCTTAGCCTAGAGGATTAAAAGGGGGAAGGAAAGAAAGCAAAAGCTGAGATGGAAGAAGGAGCCTGTTGGCTTCTGTGGAGGACAGATGGAGCCCTGGAACATCCTCTTCATTCCATACTCTTTTCTACAATAGAATATTTCTTGACGTCCCCACACTGAGCCCCACCCCCACGACTGAGAGCCAGTGTCTGCCATGATGCTGTACCTCACGGTACCTGTCTCCCTGTAAGCCATTATCTAATCTCCCCATAAGCCATTATCTAAGCCCCATTATCTTATCCCCATAATCTCATCTGTGTCCTCGCCACTGAAAGTTCTTTGAAGATGGGGACTTAGTCAGCCTGCCACAAGGCATGACCTTTGTAATACTGGCTGGACTTGTGAGGACTGGAGAGCATTGAAGGAGCACAGAAATGGAAATGTGAAAGTGCTCGTTAAGTGGGGTGAGTGGAGGTTCTAAGGAAGGAGTCCATCAGCTCATGAGGGTTTGGGATCATCCCTCTGGGTACCAGGGCAAGGTTGCCAAAATGCCTTCCTCTGCCCTGCAGATATTCTGCTTGGTTTGGTGCCCCTCAGGACCATGGATGTGTGTTTGAGTGTGTGCATGTGTGTGGCATGTGTGTATGTATGCATGGGTGTGTGCGTGCACGTGTGCATGGGTGTGTGTGCACCTTCTCTCTCACATAAAGGTGCATAGCCACCCCACTGTGTCCCTTTCCACCAGTGGACGGTATTGTTACCCCCCCTTTGGCTTTCCCACCCCACCTGGGTGCCATGGGAGCAGCAGGGACTTGGATTCGCCCCCATATGGTCCGTGTGGAGGATCATTCATACATGCTCATAAACGTCTGCCCTCGCCTGCTCTGTCCAGGGGTATTTTAGTGACGCCTGGAACACGTTTGACTCCCTCATCGTAATCGGCAGCATTATAGACGTGGCCCTCAGCGAAGCAGACGTGAGTATGCACCTGGCATGGCCGCCACCTGTGTCCTCTCTCTCTGTCTGTGTGTACTCCGCTCCCTGCCCTGCAGTGGCATCACCTGGACAAGTCACAGATCCCAGTCCCTTGATCCGAAACTAGGATTTCCTAATGAAAGCTGTGGGCAAGAAGCCCTTCAGGGTAGGGCCTTAGCCGAGGGCCTTTTGTAGACACAAGCCACCTTTTGGAGGACAGGCCTTTTTGCCGCATTTACCCAGGTCACTAGTAGGCAAGGTAAGATAGGATGTCTCTAATTGTTTTCATTTGCTGTGTCAGAAGTGATACCCAAAGTGGCATATCTATAACATGTTTATTTTAGGGGGATGTTTCAAGTAGCCGTGTGGTGTGGTGCTAGAATGTTCCCCTTTTATAACACTGTCCTTTTCTTCTTTTTTCCTGTGGTGCTTCCTCTCCTCTGTGGCTTCTGAATGCTTGCCCTAACAGCACTATTTCACTGATGCATGGAACACTTTTGATGCCTTAATTGTTGTTGGTAGCGTCGTTGATATTGCTATAACTGAAGTGAATGTAAGTAGCAAACTTTGTGTCCTATATCGTGGTTGTTTTCATTAAGTCTGACATAGAAGAGACCAGAGGCCCTGCCCATGAATCTCAACACACTTTAGAAATCCAGAAACAAATTTATTTTTAAAGACTAAGGATAATTTGTAGTTTTCTCTCCCTCACCCCATCTCGTTTCCCTGAAAAAGAGTGGGGAAGTCTATGTAGAATTGCCATTTGGAACTAGAACGGTATTTCAAAAGATCTGATGAAAGTTGTAAGGGCTGGGAGCTAATTGTGTGTGCGTGTGGATGTTGTCACTCACCAGCCGTGTGACCGTGAAAGTCATCCGAGCGCTGTGTGCCTCCGTCTTTCCAGCTGTACGTGGAGTTAATGACGTGCACCCTCGTCCCCACAATGGTTCTGTGAAGGCACAGGCGGGAGGCCCCACAGCTATGCCCTGAGCGTGTGGTGGCTGCTGCTCGTGCCCTCACCTGTACCATGTCTGCTCTGAGTCTAACTGGTGAATGTCCCACGCCCAAAGAGTGACACCAGCTGGTAGAAGGCTACTTAGGGCCAGGGAAAAGAGGGCCGAGTGAGAACCAGGGAGAGGGTGTCAGTACACCTTTGCTACATGCAGTAGACTCATTTGGGAGGGGAACAAGTGCAGTAGCATCATTGTAGGCAGAGTGAACCCCTCTCCCTAGAAGTGTTCTGAAAACCTCACCCCCTACTAAATTAAGAAGTGTGAGAAAGGGAGCCCCATCTGCCTCCTAGCTCCTTTTGCATCTGACCCATGCTAGACCGGGAGGCCTCAGGCAGGCAGAAAGGCCCCTGTTTACCTGATCTGTTTCCAGTTCATCAGCAAGTCTTAGTGGGCGTCCAGTGTGTGTGCCCAGGCTGTGCAGAGCCTTTCGAGAGAATGGGCAGAGCACAGGGAGGGTCTGTGTTTGGTGTTGGCTTTTGCTCCGCAGTGTCCAGCCCATTATGCTCTGCCTGGTGACATCTACAGGAGTGAGGGTTATAAGGTCCATCCTGGTGCCCAGACAGCCTACATCACACGAGGACTGTGAAATCCCTTTATGCCACCTGTCTGGGGCCATGCCGATTCTAGCGTGTAAATAGTAAGACAGTCACCAGCCTGGCAATCCCAAGACCTGGCAGTTGCAGCCCTAGTTCCAAACTGACCTGGAATCCAGTTCCCTCATGGGCCAAGTGGGGTGCATAACATCTGCCCCCTTGCCTTGCAGGTATGTTATAGTGATAAAATGATCTGAATGTTTGTGAAAATGCTTGCTAAAACCCCCAAAGTTTTAGGGAGATAAAAGGGTTTTATTCTAAGTGTGGGTTATCCCTGTAATGAGTAAAATGGACTGTCAGACATGACCGTGTCCGTGGGGGTGTGGTTGAAGCTTCATCACGCCATGCCGTGACAAGGCACTCAGATGGTGCTTTGTTAGACTAGGTATGCACATCTTCTAACTCCTGAAGCCCAGACATGTAAATTCTACTTGATGTGAAATGTTGCATGTGTCAGCTGTAAAATTGCCATTCATGGCATATAAATAAGCTGGTGCTAATGGGAGGTCCCTAACTGGGCAGCCCCGAACTCTCTCCCAAGTTTATGGCTAGACATCTGCCAGCTTCATCATCTCACAACACAAACTGCTTAAAGTCGCCGTGGAGGTATATTTACATGAAAATTTTGGAACATACCCTTCGGTGAGTCAGAGACAGTTTATAATGGAAGTGAAACTGCAATAAACGAGCAGCTCGGCAGGTTGCCCTGGACTGCTCAGTGCTTCTAGCACTGTTCAGGTGGTGGGTGTAAACACTTAGCTTTTGGGCACCAGGATTTGGCCAAGGTCTGTCCACCTGGGACACCCAGCTTTCTCACGCCTGACCTGCCTGCTGGCTGGCAGGGGTGTAGCACCCGTGTACTCAGGGACAGCACGCGCCTGGCTTCCTGGCTGCCTCACGTGTGCTGTGGGCTGGCCCTGCTCCTCCCGCTGCTCCTGTCCCCTCTGGCCCAGCTTTGCTCATTGGTGCCTCAGTGTTGCTGTGTTCACCTTGTACCAGTCAGGAAAGGGGCAGGTCCACACTGAAGTTTCTAGTTAGCATTTGACATTAGGTATCTGAACAAGACAGGCTTTCAGGGGCCCCCTTCTTGGCATGCAATTAAACTTTCCAGTCACACAGGCAGACATTCCCAGAATGTGCTTTCAGTCAGTGACCTTTTCCCTGGTCAGCTGTAGCCCAAGACCAAATATTCCTCGGCCGTGGCAATGCTGGTTCCCCAGCCTGGGCCAGGAGAACACCACCTTCAGAAATCTCAGTGTTTCCCTGCTGGGCCTTGGAACAGAGGGGATGCTCAAGGCCACCTTCACGTTTATTCAATCTTTCAACACACATGTGCTGGGCATCAACCACTCACAGGCTCTGGGCTAGGCTGTGGGGAGGCACAAAGATTAAAAAAAAAAAAAAAAGACTGGGTATTCTTAACCTCTGGTGTAAGTACATGACAGTGGGACTGCGGGTTCCGACACCCCAGTCCCCTCCACAATCCACAGGCAGCTCCCCTGGGGAGCAGTGCACATCACATCTGCAGTGGCCTTGTCCCCTGAGCTGTGGGGTCAGCTGTCAGCTGAGCATGAACACCCTTGGTTCATTGCTGGCTGGCTGTAGCTGCCATAAGTCATCACTGTTTGCAATGTTTAACCTGCTGTGCTCTCTCTCCCCCAACTCTGTTGATCTTTCTTTTCTGTTGCCTAATTGATTTTCATGTTGGTTTTATTTTTAGAAAATTGTAGCGGCAAGTATATATAAGCATATATACGGTGAAGTCGTTAAAGCAAAGCACTTCTAAAGACTGTGTGCTTGTTTTTGGCTCTCCACCTTTGGTTTTCACTACGCTTCACAGGACGTGCTAAGGATTGGTTGCAATCATCTGAATTGTTCCCCATCCCATATATTGTCGTCTCTTGCCTGGGGCCGTCTTGGTCAGTCACACTTGGCTCTGTGACTTGCCAACATAGTCTCCCAGAATGAATGATCTGGCTGAGAAATGATTGAATTCAGCCTGCGTTTGTATTCTTTGCAGAAATGTTTTGGGTAGTCCTTTGCATGGTCCTGCCTGCACGCGCACCAGCCTGCTCCATCCTACTGTCCCCCTCCCACCTCCCCACAGCCCGCTCAGTTCCTGGTTTGGCAGTGCTCATGGACTTGTCTCCATCACGTTTGGTCCTAACCTCACCAGGCTGCTAAAACATCAACGATGACTGGTGGGCTCCCTCTTGCTCCCTCCCTCCTTGATGCCTGTTTGTTCCTTGAATGATGACATGACCCAGCAACATATTGTCCCTAACCTGGGGATGGCTGTCACTGACATTTGTCTATTCTCATTATCATTAGTGCCTTGGAGGCAGAATACTTGTTTGGAAGCCAAGTCTGCCTTATATTACTTACCTTGAAGGAGCAGGTAAAAAGTCATTAGGGAACTCACTCTCAGAGACCCAGGGATGGTCCCTGCCTTTTAAGGTATACTGTTTGGACCAGGTGGCTGACAGTGGACCACTCATCTTCTTTTTCTGACCCCACAGTAAGGTTGTGTAGTCCCCCACTTCATATGCGAACCCTTTCCCAGGAGCCAGCTCAGCTAGGCGCTGGTCGTGGACATAGACCCAGTGACCCCAAATAAAGAAGTCCTCCTTCCATAGGTGTTGCCTGCCAGCTCAGAAATAGTCAGAGGGACGCTCCCCCAAAAGACCGGCTTCTCCACAATGCCTCGGGTTACCTGGCCCAGCTGTTCTGGGATGCTGGTTTGCTTCCTATCTGAATTAGAAAACTGCATCCTCTCTCCTCTTCCAAGCACAGATAGAAATTAATACAGAAAATGAAATGGACTGATTTTGTTTGGGAACCTCATGGTCTTTTTGGCTTCCACAGTTGCAGGGGGCTGCCCCAGAGCATATGTGGTAAGAGCCTGCCTGAGAGCCCTGTAGGAAAAGGCTTGAGGGAACATCAGGAGAGCCCCCACATCAGCAGAGCCCCAGGAATCTAAGGAGCCTTCTGACATGTAGTCCAGATTCCTGAGGCTAAGGGGCTGTCTCCTGTAGGGTTCCCGGCTGAAGAATGTGACATCTTAGGGTGGGAAGGAACTGCTAAGCTTGTCTAAGCCCTGAGGCGACACTGGAGTTCCCCCTATTAAAAACTGATTAGCAGCCCCTTGAGGCTGTCCTTGAAAGTTACTAGTGAGTCCTTCCCCAGTCTGGTGTCCTCTAGGGATGTCCAGCATAGCATAGCCTACTGGCATTCCAGCTCCTCCAGCTCCCTTGATGTTCAAGCCTCCTCCATCCCTTGTAAAGAAGATGGGGATAGAGTCTAATCTCTCTGTCTGCATCCGAGTATTGATTTCTCATCAACTCGAAAAGAACCCACTGCTCAGCCACAGCAGCCTGAATGGGCTTTTCTAGCAACCCCACTCTGTATGGCAGCTCGAGACCTAAAGGGCATTAGCTAGTATGGGCAACCTGCTAACTACTTAGGCCAGCTTTACCCTGGCCCAGGACTGGAGTTCTCAGCTCTGGCAGCACATTTGAATCACCAAGGAGCTTTTAAAATTCCCAGCATGCAGGCTGGGTGTGGCGACTCACACCTGCAATCCCAGCACTCTGGGAGGCCGAGGTAGGCAGATCACCTGAGGTCAGGAGTTGGAGACTGGTCTGGCCAACATGGCGAAATCTCATTTCTACTGAAAATACAAAAAAATTAGTCAGGCAAGGTGTTGGGCACCTGTAATCCCAGCTACTCATGAGGCTGAGGCAGAAGAATCACTGAAACCCTGTAAACAGAGGTTGCAGTGAGCCAAGATCATGCCACTACACTCCAGCCTGGGTGACAGAGGGAAACTCCACCTTAAAAAAATAATAATAAAATTCCCAACATGGAGACATGCCCCAGATTCATTAAGTAAGAATCTCTGCGGCAGGACAGAGATTTTGTTAAAGATCCCCAGGTGCGTTTAGTGTGCAGGCTGGCATGAGAGCTGACCTGCCCTTTCATTGGGCTGACATTTGTCATTTGGGCAAAGCCATCCTCAGGGTTCTTTAAATTTGTACAATATTTTGGCAACTTGCACTGTCCCCCGGGAGCTGCTGGTCACATCCTCCCCTGAAGCAGCCCTCTCTGCCCAGGGGTGCGTGGTGGGAGGGGAGGTGTCGAGGGCAAGCTGGAGGGCGCATGAAGCCTGGTGTGCTGTTTGCTCTTTCCTTTCTCCCTCGCATGTTGTGCTGCCCTGTCCCTTTACAAATGCTGTCTCCTCCTCCCTTTTCTTTAAACAACAGAATATTCATGGTTTGAAGTTCATAGTCCATAGGTTGTCACATTTCAAAGATAACAGTTGAAGAGATGTACACTTCGAAATTCAGTTCAGTTGCTGACTTTCAAGAACCCTAAGGAAGGGGGACATGAATGGCCTATCAGACTTGAAGCAGAGTAGGGAGAGGCACGAAGGAGGGTCTAAGGCCAGACTGTGGTTAGGAGCGTCTCCCCGACCAACAGGTCCTGCAGGTCTGATACATAAGTCGTGCATGTTTCAAAAGGGTAACTGTAGAGCCGTCTGTCTCGTGCACACTGACTGGTCCCCTTAAATCAGGCAAGCAGAGGCATGCATGCATGCACACTTAGCACACACACTCACCCCACACTCCAGCCAAACAGGCCAGAGTGGAGCCTTCTGTGCACAGCCTTAGTGAGAATGATGTGAAAGACGATGAGAAGTTTAAAAAATTAATTCCTTCCTTTGTTAAGGTCTTAAGTTGAAAAACATTATCTGTCCCTTGAAGGAGGTGGTATTTCTTTTGAGATGAGCTAATGGAAGAGGGAAATAAAAATAGCAGCCCTGGGTTCTTGATAAACCTGTTGCAGAGTTTCCATTCTGAGCATCCCAGGAGAAGCAAGGACCCGTTTTAAACTCTGTCAGACCTGTTGATCTTGGGTTCATAGTCACGTTGCTGATTTTCAGTTGTTCTGTAATATGCTCCAACCCCTTATTTTCTGTGAATTTTGTAGAATTTCTCTTTGGTCTCAGGAGGGAGCCCTTGATGCTAGAGAGGCTTCAGAACTGAGCTCTTCTTTCCCTGGATCCCCAGGGAGGAGGCCCTCAAGAAGTGTGCACATCCAGATGTGTACACATGTTTCTTAACTTTGCAGACACACTGTACAGAAAGGCTCCTTGAAGCCCCTAACCAGAAGAGCCTCATTCCTTTCTGTCGGGGGAGAGAGGCCGGCACATGCTGGCTCTGGTTCCACTTACTGTTGCTCTTGAATGTAAAGATGCCTCCTGGTGCTAGCTGGAGTTTGCTTCCAACTCTGCGTTCAGACACTTTCTGAATATTCGGGAAGTGTCAGGCACCATGCTGGGTATGGCGTGGAGTAAGGCAAGGCCCCTGCCCTCCCTGGGGGTGGGGGTTGGGGAGCAGGTGAGCACCAGCCATTACAGATTCTGTATCCTGGAGTCCAAAGAACAACAGTGCAGCCAGACCCTGGAGGAAGTGGAGCTGCTGAACCTCAGGAGAGCTGGTCCTCCACTCTTTCTTCCAAAGACTTATATAGACCTGAATTTCCTCTTATGTGAAAGCTATCTGAGCTGTGGGGTGGGCAGCAAGGGCTTGTGTAGGGAAGCCCGCCTCTCTCCTCCTCACCCTGACTCAGTGTGTCCAGCTCCTCAGCAGCCCCACCAGAGAGGCTGATGTCAGATGTACACTGCCCAGGCGTTTGGTCTCATGGGAACAGAGTGTGGTCCCAGGGAGTTTGTGGCTCATAGGCAGGCACCACTGTTTGCCCCGCTACCAGAGACATTCCGTTCTCTGGGGTAGGAGGCCTGCTGCAGAGAGACTAGTTTCTGAGACCCGTAGCCCTGATTAAGCCAAGAGAACTAACCTGTCTGTGAGAAGCAGGGGCAGGCTCTGCATCTGTCTCTAGGGACAGTTGAGGTCTTGAGACACTGTTCTTACTGGATGCCTGTTAGCCTGGGCACAGCGTGTCCTTGGACATGAATTAGAAAGTGGTAGCGTGTCTGTGCCCACGTCCATGGCTGCCTGCCCTCAAGTCCAGCTCCAAGGAAAGCCACTGGTATTTTCTCGGGGAGGGAGCAGGTGTGTTGTCCAAAGACAGGAGGCACACATTTTTTAAAAGGGGGAAATGCTCTCCAGAACCATTGACACCTTCCTGGTTCATTAATCCATTTTCAATCTTTGATTTCTTAAAGCCAACTGAAAGTGAAACTGTCCCTGTCCCAACTGCTACACCTGGGGTAAGATCAGCAACTAGTCCCCAGGGGCTGGACCTTTTCCTTGAGTTTATTTGACCATGTCGAGTTTTCCACTGGTTTTTCTGTATTCTCCATGATTGTCCTTCCAGAACAGTGTCTGCAGTGGTTTGCATTCATCATCAGTGTCCAGTACTGTTGACCAGCCCAGCGTTCTCCTCTAACACAGTAGAACACGTGGACATGCATGTGCTGTGTGGACGCAGTTTCCCAAGCTCTGTGTTGTTAGCATGTAACTCTTCCTTTCATATCATGCTTTTTAAGATGAAAAGGTCCCAGAATCACATCTTCAGTTCTTACCTCTGTCACCTTTGCATCCGTTGCTGTTTTTCTGAAAGTGTTGCATGTTCTACTTTCCAATGGGTTTGACCTCTCCATGATAACCCTTCAGAACTCTGAAGAGAGCAATAGAATCTCCATCACCTTTTTCCGTCTTTTCCGAGTGATGCGATTGGTGAAGCTCCTCAGCAGGGGGGAAGGCATCCGGACATTGCTGTGGACTTTTATTAAGTCCTTTCAGGTAAGGGCCATGCTAAGGACTTCTCTCTTTGTCTTTGAAGATCATATGTAAGTCAATGATTGTGCCCATCCTAGAGGACCCAGGCTCCCCCTGTGTGGACTTAGGTCAATAGAACAAGTGGAATGCTGGAGAGACCCAACTTACCATTTCTTGGGTAAATCCCAAGAGATTACTTGCCTAAAGGAAACAGAAGAGAAAGCAGGAAGGACCCATAGCTGAGAGAGTTGCAGCATTTCCAAGACAGGGAGGTGTGCAGTCTGCAGCCCTGCAGTGCTTCCAGGATGCCTGGCGGTGGTATGTGAGCGCCAGGTCCCAGCAGACTGCCTGGAAGCCCAGCAGCCTCTCTGTGATGCCTTCTCCTCATAAGGCTGCAGCAGTGCTGCCTGTTGACTAGTCTGGATCCATATCAGAAGCCACCACCTGGGCCAGCACACCATCACTGGGTTATCCTGCACCTGGAAGAGTCCCAAAGTTCAGGATGTGCAGGCATAGGCCATGTCTCATTTGTCACCTCTGATTCTCCAGGCTGATACAGCTCAGTTCTAGACTTTCCTAAGCAGAACCAGCTTTTCCTCTACCTGCCATTACCCTGCCCCAGATGTTCTAGCCTTCTGGACTGATTCCATTTGGAGGAGGAAGTGTGGGAAATAGAGATTCTTATTAAAAGGTGCACCCATGTAGGGAATTTGTGGATATGCACAAACTTTAGAAAGTGAATCCTGCATCTTCATTTTTATAAATTATTTGACTATTTTTCATTCAAAAGTAACAAATGTTTACAACAACAAATGAAGCTGTCTAAAGATAAATAAAGATAAAATTCAAACTTGCCCCTCACCCACCCCAGGGATAACCAGTGTTACCAAGTAAGTGTTTGTCCCTAGTGGATGGAATTTTCACAGGTAAAAGGGAGAAGGGACATTTTGGGGTGGGGGGCGCTGCAGGCACTCACAAGGGAAGTCACAGGTCCTGCTGGGGAGAGTGAGGCTGGAGGAAGGTAGAGTAGGGGCCTCAGGCTGCTGAGCCGTGGACTTCCTAAGGCAAGGAATCCTTGACAGTTGTTATTCATATAAAGTACCAAAACTTAGGAACAAACTGCTATAAAAATAGATAATTCGGAGGTAATATCATCTCACTTTTTAAAGAAATTCTTCGAGATTCCATCTGCCACAGATAAGAAAGTCATGTTCCAGAGCAGCGGTTCATACAGAGAAACTGTGTAAACAATAATCTTAAACATTTGGCAATCTAGGAAGAAAATGTACATGGGTATGTTGAGGAAAGCCTGAAACAAACCCTGTGGGACCCTGCTGAGCAGCCCAGCTGTGGGAAGGGCCTATTGTACCAGGCCAGGCTGGCAGGTACAGGTCCACAGCCAGCACAGGTCTGAAGGTGGCTGGGCACCTGTGAGCCACTGACTTTCTGATGAGCTCTCTCAGATAATAGAGAAAGCGGGTGTTTTAAGTGTGTGTTCTCAGAGTTAAGCTTAACAATCTGGGCCCCCTATGCATGTGGACGTGTTTGTCACATGTGATGAGGTAGACAGCAGTTGAGGAAATTCAATTAAAGGATGTCAGACACTTGCATTTGGTGTTTCTGAAGAGAGCCACGCTTGGCGACCCCCCAGCTCACTCCTTTTCTTCCCTGGCCCCGCCCCCAAACTTAGCAGTCCTTTCAGAAGGTGTGCATCTTAAGAAAGGTATTTTGCGTTCTACAGCAACAGCCAGAAAGTGGTTCTTCCCCTCTGACCCAGTAATTCCACTCCTAAGACTTCACCCTAAGGAAATACTGCAGCAGAAGCAAGGTGATTTTGCATAAAGATACTCCTTTGCGACATTATCTACAGTGCCGTCCCCCAAAACATACCCACAAAAGAAAGTGGAAGTACACTAAGTGTCCAGTGTTCTGGAATGGTTTGATCAATTATATTTTCACCCAAAAACTCTAGTAATGAATGTAAGAATTGTCATGGGAATGATGTGTCTGTGTTTAGGGTCAGGCTACAGGGTTGGTGACCACCGTGAGCCCATCTGCCTACAATATTGTAACAGTGGGCGTGCGTGTGGATGGCATCTTCAGGACTGAAGTGGTTGTGCAGTGCTGGGATTTGAACCGTTCTTCCTCATGGTCGGGGTTCTTTTACTGTAACATGTGGAATGGAAAGGAAGCATGTGGCCTCTCATAAGTATTCTCATGGGACAGCCGGCCGGTACTGAGCCCAGTGCCTTTTCTCTCCCAGGCACTCCCATATGTGGCCCTCCTCATAGCCATGCTGTTCTTCATCTACGCGGTCATTGGCATGCAGGTAAACTCCAGCCACCCCACCCTCAGGGGCCCTTTCACTGGGTAGCCCCAAATCTGTAGCAAGATGTATGTTGACCAGGCGAAGGAGAAGCGCTGTCATTTTTTTCAGCCAGACCCCTCTGCTGAAGCCATAGGAAGACAAGAAAGACATGGCTGCTTGGGAGAGAACTCCAGGGGAGGCCCAGGCTCAGTAGAATGTAGAGAGGGTAGAATGTGCCGAGAAGAGTTGCATTTCATGGCAGCAGAATTATGCTTTATCATAACAAAGTGAGATTCACTTGAAACTAAATATTTCCAGATGCTAAGACTGAGGAGAGAAGCATGTGGCCCCTCCTGGGTCTTTTCAGTCTGTGCTGAGCCATCGTGGGGACAGAAGCCTGGTGCTGAGCCAAATGCCTTTTGTGGCCATTGTTGTGCTTTAGTAGCTCACCTTTAAAAGGAGGCTCACACCTCTTCCGTGACCCAAGCTGAGGGGCTGCACCCTGTTTCACAGTTCCTCCTGGGCGTGGGAAAGGGACCGGGCCTCCCAAACAGAGGAGCCCTAACACCAAGTGGGCGGTGGGATGGGTTGTGGATAGGAAGAAAATGCCCGTAGGTATGTTGAGGAAAGCCTGAAACAAACCCTGGTAATCCTGCCTCCCCAGGCAGGGTGGAGGGAGGCAGCCTAAGAGTGGAGGCAGTCGGAGAGCCCAGGTGACTGCAGATCCCCACTGGCAGGCTCCTTACAGATTCTCCACGTGTGCAGGTGCCATCTTTCAATAAAGGACGGATGTAAGTGAGAAAGAAATGAAGTGATTCTGTGATTCTAGGAGCAGAGAAATGGCAGTGTTTAAAAAAAAAAAAAAAATCCTGAAAGCATAGAAGCACTTGTAGGTCTCTGGGAATCTTACCTTGAGTTATGAAACAAAAGTCAGCATACTTGAGCCTCTGTGACTCAGCAGCACGTGGTGCTGTGTGCCCTGGAAGGTCTTCTATCACATATTTTCTCATATTAAAAAAGAGCCATCTCAGAACTACAAACTGCATGGCACACACCCCTCCGGATTCACCCAGCAGGCGTTTGTAAGCATCTGCAGGCTTCTCTGGAATGTCAGTCTGCTTCTAAGTCTCAAAAGTACAACTCTGTAGTACCCTCCCATTGCCCTGAAGGTAAAGCCCACTATCCTGCTCGGGGCTCACAGCCCCTGCCTGTTGGCTCCTGCCCTTGCCTCCAGCCTGGTCTTTTATCTGTCTGCTCCTCACACATGTGATGTTCATTCCCTTGGTATCTGTTCTGTCACCCTGCCCCTATGAGACATGGTGCTTCCTCCATTGGAGACACTCTTTACCTTTCTTAACGCCCGATGTATCTTTCAGTTCTGAGTTTACATGTCGCTTCCCCCTAGAGGTTTCCTGGCTCTGCCCCCCAGCCTTGGGCGGATGAGCCTGTCATGCTTCCTGTGTATCTGGACCACCCCAGTATCATCCTGGGGTTTGATGTTGCCTGGCTACACTTGTATCTCTCCCCCAGGGCAGGGGATCCTCCAACGTGGGAATGTGCCCATCTGGAGCACCATGTTTCCAGTATGCAACCTGCTGCCTGGCACATGGTTGTGCCTGGCAGATCTTTGTTGAATGAGTAAAGTGCCAGGTACCATGAGAAAGCCTTAGCTGGTAAAGAGCAAACCTGAGTGAGTTCTAAATTCACATATGAATTTTTTTTTTTTTTTTTTTTCATGATGAAATCTATTCTCTTCTTCCTAAAACTTCTCCACCTAGATGTTTGGGAAAGTTGCCATGAAAGATAACAACCAGATCAATAGGAACAATAACTTCCAGACGTTTCCCCAGGCGGTGCTGCTGCTCTTCAGGTGACTGCAACTGGCTGGCTTGGGCGGTGCTCCTGGACAGGGGTGTGAGTCTCCCGCTAGCTCTGGGTTCGGAGGGACAGAGGACACAGGTTATTAAAGCAGTGTGCCTTTCCCAGTTGATTGCGATGGCTTTTTGTTTTTGTTTGTTTTGTATTCTTAAACACAGACCCTAGCATTTCAAACACAGGAATTTCACTGGATTGTTAAAACTGCTGTGGTAATCCCGATTGTGGCTGGCATAAGGTTTATTCATTTGGGAGTTAGGCTACTTAGGACACAGGGAAAATTGTGGGATGTATGTTTATGCATGGAAGCATACACTAAACATGACTGGAAGACAGAAATTTAGCAAAAACGTAGAGGCCTTTTGCACAGCCAGTGGGGAACATCCTAAGATGTGTGATTTCAAATTTTATCAGGTTGCTTTTAACCCCAGTTAATTAACTTTGTAAACAAACTGCCCTCATAGAGAATTTTCTAGAGATCATGAAGTATTTCTAGTGACTCTAGTGATTGACTAACAAGTCATTTGCAAGTTAGGTAGATTCTAAGTCTGCCTTCAACAAAATTGAACATAGACTCAACTGCGTAAGTATTTTGGTCATTAAAAATAATTAACAGTCCGGGTGCAGTGGCTCATGCCTATAATCCCAGCCCTTTGGGAGGCTGAGGTGAGTGGATCGCTTGAACCAAGGAGTTCAAGACCAGCCCAGGCAACACGGCAAAACCCTGATTCTACTAAAAATACAAAAATTAGCCAGGTATGGTGGTGGGTGGCTGTAGTCCTCGCTACTGGGGAGGCTGAGCCTGGGAGGTGGAGGCTGCAGTAAGCCAAGATCACACCACTGCACTCCAGCCTGGGCAGAGCAAGACCCTGTCTCAGAAACTAATAACAATTAATGTTAATTATAATACAAATGTTTGAAGTAAATAAGACACAAAAACAAGCATCCATTTATACAGTTAGTGCGCTTGCATAAGATGATGGCTATAAATCAAAGGGAATGGCAGCAGAACCTCCGGTTACCGTGGTAAGTTACATGTGAAAATAAGTATGAATTTCAGATTTTCATTAGTTCACATTGGATTTTCCCCAAATCACTAAGGTTTTGCACTGTTAATGAGTTTTTCTCCCCGAAGGTCTAAGCTTTAAATTCCTTCTTTCCTCCACTAAAGCCCCTTTTTTCTTAATCTGAAAAAGGTGTGCGACAGGTGAGGCCTGGCAGGAGATCATGCTGGCCTGCCTCCCAGGGAAGCTCTGTGACCCTGAGTCGGATTACAATCCCGGGGAGGAGTATACATGTGGGAGCAACTTTGCCATTGTCTATTTCATCAGTTTTTACATGCTCTGTGCGTTTCTGGTAAGTGCTCAAAGTAGCTGCCCCTCTCAGTGTACAGATGCTTCTGTAGCACTCAGTGTTCATATCAGCGACATTGCCCTGTCCCATCGTTCGAGGACAGTTGATGTGGGTGAGCACTCTGGACTCCACTTGGCAGTTGAGGGCTTTTGTTTAACCAGGCACGTGTCACTGCTGCCATCTTTGTAAGCAGAAACTTGATGCTCACTAATAAGCTTAAAGCAATTACCAACCACCTTAGCTTCTTAGGGCTCCTTTCTAAAATGTCTCAGCCAGTGAGTATGTTGATGACTTAAGAGTGTGAATTATTTGGTTATAATGAAATTATAAAACTGCAGTGTGTTTCAGAAGGGCTGCCTTCCCCAAGAGTTTTTGAAAGCCGTTCCAGAAAGCTAGAACCCCACTCTTTCCTTAAACATTCTCCAAAGAGAAAGTTTTTACAACTTCTCTTGGAGACATGGGTTCCCATGTTTCATTCCATATAATTAGAAGGCCTATGCTAAGTTCTAACCTTATCCAACTGCAGCTGAAGTTCTTCCCTTCTGATTTGCTTTTTCAGATCATCAATCTATTTGTGGCTGTCATCATGGATAATTTTGACTATCTGACCCGGGACTGGTCTATTTTGGGGCCTCACCATTTAGATGAATTCAAAAGAATATGGTCAGAATATGACCCTGAGGCAAAGTAGGTTGAAAAACATGCACTTTGGTGTGTGTGGGTGGATTTTGGAATGTCAACTGTGGTTGTTGTGGAGTGGACTGAAAGTTCGGGCCAACTGGTACTATTCCTGGACCTCACGTTGTATTTTACTTCCAGGGGAAGGATCAAACACCTTGACGTGGTCACTCTGCTTCGACGCATCCAGCCTCCCCTGGGGTTTGGGAAGTTATGTCCACACAGAGTAGCATGCAAGGTGAGTATCCTGTGTGCATGTCTGACAGCCTCTCTTGTAGACGTTCCCTTCATTTAACAGACACTTGGTAAGTGACATGGCCAGGCCTTCATGAGGTGCTGGGGATGCAGAGATGAATAATACATGGTTCCTACCTCTGGAGGACGTTCAGATTTATAACTCTTTGAACACCCTGTCAGGAACCATCAGAAGAGGAAGAGAATTCTGTAATTTGTCATTGCGTGGATGGTGGGGAAGGTGACATTTCAGTCAAGTTCAGAAGGAACATAGGAGTTCGTCAGAGGGAGGAAAGGCTCAGAAGGAGGCAGGAGAATGGATGTAATGGCAAAGGGTGCGTCAATGGGTCACCCTTGGGCTAGCATATAAGAAGAAGTGACAGAAGGCCCCAGGCACAAGCAGAGCCTTCTATAGCCTGCTGAGGTCTAGGAGAATGGGGAAGAAACACGAATTTCAGGTTTCCATGTTAGGAAGGTGACAGCTGGCAATGGAGAAGTGGACCCGAGGCAGGAGGACAAACCAGGAGAGCTAGAACGAAGGCAGCAAAAGTGGGAAGGGAGAGGAGTGGTCGCTCCGAGATCCGCTTAGGACAAGGACTCAGTGGCCTAGGTGAGGGGAGTGGGAGTGCGAGGAGAACGCCTCTCCCAGCCTCAGCAGTGGGGGACACAGTGCTATGTGTTCCACACGTCCCCTCTGCTACAGAGCTTTGTGGCCATCACAGGAGATGGCCCTTTTCAGGCACAGCAGGCCCTGTGGGTCCCTTTTCTGGCACAGCAGGCCTGGTCTCTCAGGGAGGATCCAGCCCTCCCACTGCCACCCATTTCTGTGTTTCCATGCCGGAGCACGCTCTCAGGGACCTCAGTGAGACTCTTCCTTCCACAGAGCTCACGGGACAGCACTTTACACTTGTTGTAGCAACAAAAAACGGTTTCTGTTTTTTCAAGGAGAAATATAGGATTTGTCCCTTGAAACTCTGCCTTCTAGAAATTCGTCCAGTCTGCATAGCAACTAGTTCTTGTTCCTCTTGGATCCAAGGACATCCTGGAGTCAGGTGTTTTACCACTCCAGGGTGCTGAGCCAGCTCAAGACAGAAACCAAGGTAGCAAAACAGAGTCTAAAATATGTTTCAGACTCTCAAAGTAATGCCCTGAGCCAAACTCATGTCCCGAGCCCTGAAAATCCAGAAAGCCCTCTAGGCAAGTCTGTAGGGTGCTTGCCTCTCCTCAGGCCGGACTCTGGAGATAGAAACAGAGGTTGACATTTTTTTTCCATAAACTTCTCCGTACTAGCCTCTTTTCTGCTTTCCAAGAACAGTATGGGATCCAGTTCACTGATGTCATCCGTGTTTAAATTTCCAGACTCTTTTGCATAGAGCTCAGATGTCCTTGAGGCACAGTCATCCATTTTGCTGATGCGGGAACTTGCCAGGAAAAGTGAACAAATGTCCAGGGTTCCTTGGCTGCCTGTGCTGGTTTGGAGAGGGGGCTGGAGGTTGGTAGGAGGACTAGGAATTTGGGTGGGATGGACTATGCAGACACAAGATTCCAATACATCAATACGGAAGAGAAAACAATCTTTTTCTTTTAGAACATGAAGTTTTTCAATATTATCAATGTTATCATTTATTTAGTGCTTGCCATGTGCCTGACACAAAACTCTTTGTGTCTGTGAGTCCTTTAATCCTTGCAAGGCCCCATCCGTTGGGCATGTCATCTGCATTTACAGGTTGAAGTGACTGGGGCCCAGAGAGGGTATCCCTCACCCAAGTCCCCTTCAACTCTCATTGCTGGTGCTAAAGGGATCAGGAGATAGAAGAGGAGTGGGGAGTGTGGATCCTGCTCTGAAAGACCAAACCCTGGAAGAAGCCACGCAGATTCATGCAAAATGCTACAAGATGTACATAATGGTCTCATTAGGCAAGGTTCCTTGAAGGACACTCCCTGAGTTGGGAATAGTAGTGGATCCTGTTGGCTGAGAACCTAAGTTCCAGGCCCTGTGCCTGGCCCACTGTGTTTTACTTCCTTTAACCCTCACGACAGCTTTAAAAATGTGCCTGAGCCGGGCACAGTGGCTCACACCTGTAATCCCAACATTTTGGGAGGCAGGAGGATCCCTTGAGGCCAGAAGTTCAAGACCAGCCTGGGAAACAAAGCAAGCCCTCATCTCTAAACAAACGAACAAACAAACAAATGTGCCTGAAATGGAGATCTGACCCTAAGACCTCCATCGGGATTAATGAAAACAGGAGAAGACTGCTTAAACAGTGAGGTTTCACTGTTTAAAAAACAAAATACATTATCTGCATGTTAGCGTTTATATTTCATGACTAAACCTTTGATCTTTGTCATCCCAGAGTCCCCTAAATGATAGATTGTATTAATCAGGGTTCTCCAGAGAAACAGAGCCAATAGGATGCATATGGAGATGTGTGTCTGTGTATGTGTATATATACACGTATACACACACACAGGTTTGTCATGGGGAACTGGCTTATGTGATCATGAAGGCCGGGACGTCCCATGGTCTGCCATCTGCAAACTGGAGCCCGAGGACCTGGTGGTGGTATCCAGTCTGAGTCTGAAGTCCTGAGAACCAGGGGAGCCCACAGTGTAAGCCTCGGTCGAAGACAGGAAAAGACTGATGTCCCAGCTCAATCAGGCTGGCAGAGAGAGAATTAAATCTTCCCCACCTTTTTGTTCTCTGTGGGCCCTCAACAACAGGATGAGGCCCACCCACATTGGGGAGGGCATTGCTTTACTTATTCTACTCACTCTACCAATTCACATGGTAGTCTCATCTGGAAACATTCACACAGACACACCCAGAAATCATGCTTAACCAACTGGGCATCTCATGGCCCACTCAACTTGACACATAAATTAACCATCATATGAGTAACCCCCAAGTGGCTGTTGAATTGAATTGAGGGTTAACTGGAAAAGAGATGAGTGATAAGTGGAAAATAAAGATCCAACAGAATATGACTGTGATCATTCATTTGCCGTCTACAAAGAAATTTTCTTTTCTGTTTACAGAGATTAGTTGCCATGAACATGCCTCTCAACAGTGACGGGACAGTCATGTTTAATGCGACCTTGTTTGCTTTGGTTCGAACGGCTCTTAAGATCAAGACCGAAGGTAAGCATTCCCTGGCAGCAAGACAAGATGGTAGGAAAGGAAAGAGATATCACATCCCACCTTGCCTTCCTAATCTAGGCCTATTCTTGGCCAAGGGGAGGCTCTGAGGAAGGGGCTGGGTAGAATGGGGATGTCCATGCTGGGTTGGCTGGCTGGCCCCTGCCTCCTGCCTCCTGCCTCCTCCCTCCTCATTCTTTCTCTCCTTCCCTTATGCTTCACTCTGTCCCAGAATGTTTTGAGTTGACTCATACCACTGCTTACTACATAGCAGGGGAAACAGGCAAGGTGTCGGAGCAGAGATGGAGCCATCAAAAATGAACTCGGAGCCATTCCTTACTAGTTGCATGACCTACACTGAGGAATTTCACTGGTCTGAGCTGTAGTTTCTTTCTCCATAAAAAGGAAATAAATACAGGGATGTCCAGGAAGTCCTGAGAATGAAATGAGATGATGTCTGCAAAAGCTCCTCTGCAGTGCCTAGCACATAATCAGTGTTTGGGAAATATGGTGGGATCAGCATCTTCCCAGCTAAGAGACCAACCAACCCAGAATGGCCTTCACAGCCACACTCAGCCCTGGTCAAATCCTGGTAAAACAGGCACTAGAGTATGGCCATTGGAGCTGGCTCAGTGGTGACTTCAGAGGTGGAATGGAAAGCAGATTGCAACAGGTTGAGGAGTGACCAGCAGGTGTGGGAGGTGGGAGGTGTAGACCTCAAGGGGAGCTGACTCTCTGAGGCACTAGTGGAGGAGAGGGAAGAGGAGGCAGCAAGGGACCCATGCTGACTGCAGGCAGGTGACTTCTTACAACCCTGGAGCCCAGGGAGACTCAAACCAACAAAGCCAGCCTCTTCCAGCCTAACAGGGCCCCTGTGTAGCATGCTTGCCTGTACCTGGCCCTAGGCCAGCATTGTTAAGGGTTCTAGAAGGCAGAATGGTCTTCTATGCTGACATGTTAGTTGAAAAGTCAAGCATCAGCTCATATAATAAAAAGCCAAGGTTATATACATATAGTAGGAATTGAGAGTCTTATTGGGTGAAATTTAGGCTGGATCTTCAAGGAAGGAGGTACGATTTGAAACGACCAGTAAAAGAGCAGAAGGCAAAGGCATTCTGGGCTGGAAACAGTGGAAAGCAAAGAGTAGGTCCTGGCTGTGGGAGGGTAGGATGGAATCAGAGTGGGACAGGCCTTGAATTCCAGGGTGAACCATGTTTGCTCCCATGGTGGAGGGACTTCCCACAGGGAAGGCGTGATCACTATTGCTGAATATAGGAGGTGTGTTTGCCCTTAACTGGGGAGAACCTGGCGTGAGGAGATAGGCTGGCGTGGGGGGAGAGGCTGGGGTGGGGGGGAGAGGCTGGCGTGGGGGGAGAGGCTGGCGTGAGGGGAGCATGTTCATCCAGGTTAGGCTGGGACGAGGCTGTGCAATCAGAGGAGAAGCTGGAGAACAGAAACGAGCCTAGCTTTTCCCCGTTTGTTTTTTGAATCCAGGGAACCTGGAGCAAGCTAATGAAGAACTTCGGGCTGTGATAAAGAAAATTTGGAAGAAAACCAGCATGAAATTACTTGACCAAGTTGTCCCTCCAGCTGGTGGTCAGTGCAGTCTGTTTCCTAAGTAGTCCTTGGCCAGTGCATTGGTTTTAATGCTAGTGTCTCCAGAAAGGCCAGAGAGTGTTTGCAAAATGCTTTATATATCAGTTAGAACATTAAGGCCAACAGATAAAGAAAGCCCTTTGGCCATTTGGTGTAATTATTTGGGGATAATATGAAGAGCATTCCAGACAAAGAAGGGGCTTCAGTGAAAAGCAAACCAAAACCCACATGGCTGGAGCAGGGCTCTCTTTTTGGTGGAGGAATTAAGTTGGAGGACAAGATCGTGATCTCAAAGTGAAAAGCCTGTATTTTTTGTCCAAAATGAAATATTCAAAACTTGTTTCCAATTACCCTTCAGTATATTGTTGAAAATGTCTCATGAAAAATAGCTTTCAGGAAATTGTATTTTTGAAATGTTCTTATTAAGACTGAATTCACTACCATAATTACCAAAGATGACCTTTGTACTAGCAGGCATGCTTATTTCCTTTTGTTATTTATCACAAAATAACCAACTAACCTTCTTCAAATTTTTATACATATATGTAACATCTATATCTATATATATATATATACACACACACACACAGTATATATATATATATATGTGCATACTATTTTTGCCTTTTTATTTAAGTACATGTGGACTTAGACATTAAGATGGTTGTTTTTGACTGTTCTGTTTCCAAGTTTTAAAGGTGCAGGATCTGTTCAGCCAGTGCCACCACACTGGCATTCTAGCATCCTTGGGCCATGGCATGTGATGAGCCTTTGGTGTGCCTTGTGACAACCAAATTTTTATAGTGTCACTGCCCCTGCAGCTTTTGAGATTGGTCTGGCTCAGGTCTGAGAGCTGACTTCAGGACCAGGGTCAGGACAGTGACCAAGGCCTCTCCCTCTGAGAAGGTCATGAGCTCTGGCTCTTGGGGTGCAGAGAGAGCAGCATGCCAGCCAGCTCTGCTCCTTGGCATGAAGCAAGAAGCAGCGTGAGCTTTTCTTGCTGAAGGGATTACCGGTAGCTGGTATGGCCACCAGCTCAAAGCTGGGGAAGATGGCCCAGAAAGAAATGATAAAAGGAAAACAAACGAACAACAACAACCAAACCCCCCCCACACACACAAAACCCCCACCTACAGAACCCTGGCTTCCCACAGGAGAACTGATACTGCACGGTTAAAACAACTCTTTGGTTTTCATTATTTTCCGTTTAACTGCGCATCCAAGAGCTTGCATGGCTTAGATGAATTGCTTTTGAAAAATTGTAACAATGTGCTTGAGCTTTTTCTGCAGCCTGCATTCCTTTCACCTCTCAGTCTTTCAGAATATTCTGAAGCAATTCTGTTTTAGGGTGGTGGCATGGAATCAGAGTTATCTCTTGCCAACTGTATTCCCCTACATTGTTTCTTGAAACACAGATGCATGCTTCAGAATAGTGGGCTATGCCTGTCTATGTAAACCTTCCTCCCGCGAGCTGAGGACCCCCTCCTCCCTAGCTCCACCTCACATCTCTCTTGGAACGCCACCTTCATCACGACCAGCCAAACTCCCACGTTAATACCCATCCACATGAGATGCCCTTGGAGGGTGTCATTTGCATTGCCCTGAAACTTCATTTTACCAAAAGAAAAGTCCAGAATTTAGCTCACCATCTGAGCTCCTGTCCTTTGAAAACCTGATCAGCTTTTATCTTTACCAGACTTCTAATAGAGTGGAAATCTTCTTTCTTGGTCCAGTAACTGGACCTAGCCTTTTCTCCCTGTTAACATGGGTTGGAGTTTAGGATGACAAGTTTTAATGTATTCCACAGCGGCAGCAAAAGGCAGTGTGAAGCCCAAGAAGAGAGAAATGGGGCCTTAGGAGGAGACTTAGGAGCTCTGCAAGCTCCCTGCTGTTGTTGACTGATGTCCCCAGCACAGGGCTTATGTGGGCTGAGTCTCATATGAGCACTGTGGCCATGAAGGAAGGTCAGAAGGCAGTGGCCGTCAGGCTTTGGTGCACGGAAAGGGCAGGGCTTTGCTGTCCCCTTTCATCATTTGTCTGTCTCTCCTCTTTTATATTCCAGTAGACCCACGTCCCCAACCTTTCCTGCATCACAGCACACTTAGAAAGGATAATATTTGTATACCCCTCTGGGCAACAGATGTGGAGTTCTTGAGGCTGAGGTTCTTGGTGTCCCCTACATCATCACATGCTCTGGTCAAAGAGCAGGAGACTGAGTGAGGCCAGCCTGGCTGGGACTGGCAGATGTGGGGTACTCAGGAAGCACCTCTTAGCCCTGATGATGGAGCTGAGTAGGATGCTTGTTGTAGGTGGCTTTGCTGGTGTGCTGGCCTGGCTCTGTGTGAGCTTGATGATGAGGTCAGGAGTGAACTGTTGATCTGTGGATACACATCAGGCTTACTTCACTCCCAGTGGGCCAGGGGACTTGGCTGCCCCCTCACCATCAGTGCTGAGCTGCCTGCCTTATCTCTGCCTCTCAGCTCAGTTGATCACCTCTGCTCTTCAGCCTTTTCCTGCCATCTCGTGGGTCCTTCACCTTCATTTCAGAAGCTCTCTCTCCTTCCCAGGACTCTCCTCCATCCTTGACCTGGATCCTTTGCTTATTTGCCCTGAAGCGCACACTGAGCTGCCTCCATCTCCTTCTTTTCAGTCCTGAACCCAGATGGCCTCCTTGCATTCATTCCTTCTCTTCCTTCTTGTTCTGTCCTGCTATAGCTTTGACTTTTCTTGTTCTTAGGAACTCTCCCTTGGGTCTAGTCTCTTAATTAGCTCATTGTCTCAATGGAGAAGATGAAGTGACCCTTGAGTCCTCTCCTGCAGAGCCCTGGGTGGGTCCATGTCTGCTCTGGAAGCTGAAGGGAGATCAGGGCTAGGCCTGCATTTGCCGGAAGCATCCCAGTGTGGAATGAGGTGTGGATCTTCTGTAGGTAGAGCCAGGGCTTTTTCTGGGCCCCACAGAGAGCACTCAGAACCCTGGACTACAGAGGAAGGCTGTGGCATGGCAAGTCACCAGAGAAGCTCCCTGCGGCCCCTGGAGGTACTAGGCAGACAATAGTGTGTCCACTTCCCATGTGCAGCCTGGTTAAGGGATACACTTGCATGGGGAGAGGCAGCTCCAAAGAAGCCGTCAGCCAGTGTGGCTGGAGACAGCCATCTCCAGAGAGGTGGTGTGGAGGATAGGACTCCAGGCTTGGGAGCACGCTGTCCTGTGTTCAGGTGCCGGCTAGACCGACCTGGGCAAGTCATTTAGCCTCTCTTCATCTGTTAGGGGCATGGTGAGCAGATCTACCATGTCAGAGTTGTGAAGAGGCCATGAGACCCACATGGAATTCTTCTGACACAGGGGTTGGCACTTATAGATGTCCAACAGTAGGGGCTGGCGAGAGCTAGAGCTGATATTCCAAACACATCCAGAGCAAATGGGGAGGCTGGAGAGCACAGCGGGGCGTGAAGTATCAGGACCTGAGATCTGTGCTCACCTCCTGCCTTCTTGCCTATGGACCTTCCATCATTAGACAAGCCTGAGACCACTTAGGGACCATGTTTTACAAGCCACTCAGAGCCTTTGGCTTCCCTGGGTGGCCCCTGCACCACTCGAGGCCAGACAACCCGAGACAGCGTTCTCACACAGTAACACCGAGCACCTTCGGACAGGGAGAGCTGGAGAGGCAGCCCAAAGTGGCATCTCCAGTGGGAGCCACAAGATGTTGGCAGCACCTCCTGCATGGGCGCTAAGTGAAGCCCACCCAGGGTACATTAGTGAAGGATGATGGTTCTCCATGTCCCCGCCCCCATCAAGCTCAGGACCCATGTCAATGGATGCCACCATCAGCACATTTTAAAGTAAGAGTGACTCTTGAGGGGTCACCATTATCAAGTGCCTAGCACTTAAGACAGCCCAAGCCAGGGGACTGAGTTCTTTACCTGCCTTCTCCCATAGAGTCCTCATGTCTCTTCTGAGAGGCTTATTTCCATTTTAGAGATGAGAACACAAGCTCAGAGTGGTTGAACCCCTTGCCCCCTCATCAGCATGTAACTCTTGCAAGGGCAGCCTGGCCTAAAAGCCACCTGCTTTGCAGCCTGTGGACCAGCAACCATTCCTTCTTCCAGCATCTGCAAGTCATGATCTGTGGCCCCCAGGGCCCCACATGGCTCCACACACATGGGATGGGCTACTGATCATAAGCTTTACCCTCAAGAGACACAGCACACTGAAGATCCGGTGGGGAGCAGCCGTGGGAGACCCATGGGCACATTTACATGTCCAAAGTGGTTTACCAGGAGACAGCCAGAGCCTCTATTCTGCCTCATGCATCACCTTTAAAGTCATCAGCAGAGTTCTGATTCCCCAACCATACACGTTGGAGGTTGTTTCTGAACAATGCAAAAATAAGCCCAGCTCAACTTTGAGGTTGGTCGGAGCTGTCACTACAGTGCAGAAAATGAGCTGTTCAGAATTACGAACCAAGAAATGGTATACGGAACTTATTGGCAGAGAATGCGGGGGCGGGGAGCTCGTGAAAATCTGATTTTGCAGTCACTTTTCTGAACCTTCCTCTCCTTATGAGCGTGTATGTCACCTTTCTAGGTCTCTATCTTGAGATGTCGGGATTTGGATGGTTAATTGCCCTTGATAAGTTTATGGTAGTTATACATGCAAATCCCTATGCACAGGGGTGAAATGTGGCCCGTGAAGCCTCTTTTTGTTTTGTAATTTTCATTTTAAGTAAATAAGACAGCATTTCATAGTGTTACTAATATGCTGCTCTATTAAACTCATAACAAATATATTATTTTCTGCAACCTAGAATATCAGTTCATTTAACTGACACTAATTTTGAGCCTTAATTTCTTTGCAAAACCTTGCTTTTTGCTGGTTTGAGACTCCCATGTTATATGCTGAGAGCTCGGTGCCTTCTGCGCGGCGCCGCACCCCCACCCCACCCTGCCCCTGCCCCTGCCCCAGCCAGAAGCAAGTGTTTAGGCTCTTGGTCTAATGTGCTGATTCGGGAGAGCTCTGTCTGGTCTCTCCGTTTAGATGATGAGGTAACCGTGGGGAAGTTCTATGCCACTTTCCTGATACAGGACTACTTTAGGAAATTCAAGAAACGGAAAGAACAAGGACTGGTGGGAAAGTACCCTGCGAAGAACACCACAATTGCCCTACAGGTGAATTGTTGTCTTGTTCTGTTTTCTCTTTTCACTAACGATTTTACAAGCTTATTTGAAATACTAGAGAGCTGCCTTTTCATGGTTGAGCAGTACCACCAGGATTTTGTTTAAAGTGAGATACTACACACTCCCCAAATGTGGACTAGCCATTTCTGGGCCACGAGGTAAGTGCTTCCCTCCCTGCTGCTTTCCCCATAGAGCCCTGCACCTGCCACCACCCACGTGGCAGGGCTGCCAGGACGGAAAGGAGCGAGCGCTGCCCTCGCACCCCAGCCCCGCCAGGCAGTGTCCTCCAAGCAGGCACCCACCTTCCCCACAGCCCTGGGCTCCAGGGTTCTGGCTGCCTAGTGAATGAACAGCTTTCCATCTGAACGCAAGTGCTTTGTTTTGTTTCTGTTTGTTTCTTACCCCACTGCTTGTTGGTTTTTGGTCCATTTCAGTAACATTCATCACCTCCTAGTATGTACTACGTGTGTGTGTGTGTGTGTGTGTGTGTGTGTGTGTGTAGTATGTACTGTGTGTGTCTCTCTAGTATGTACTCTGTGGGTGTGTGGTGTGTGGTGTGTGGTATGGTGTGTATCTGTGTCTGTCTCTGTGTGTGGTCTCCTGATGGGTGGGAGGCCAGCTGTGCACCTCCTATGCTCTCACGCCCCAGCCAGCCTCTGGGCCCTCTCCCTCCTCCACCTGGGTCCCGCTCCAGGCTCCTAGAGTGTGGATGTGGCTTTCAGGAACCTCTGGCCCCAGCCAGTGTCCATGCATGTGAGGAATGTAGAATCCTAGGAAACCCCAAAGCTCTGGGATGGGAAGAAAGTATGTGATGGGGACGAGAAGGCACTATGGGGACCAGGAGGAAGAGGGGCTAGGAAGGTGGTCTGCAAGTGCTGTGAATGAAGGAGATAGGGTAAAGAGGGAAAAGATGCTAAGGACAGGGAAGAGGGAACCACAGAGGCTGGCAAACCATCTGAAACAACTGTCCAAATGAGTTAGAAGCCCAGTCACCTCTGTTACCCAGAGTGCTCTGAGTCCATCATGGATACAATAAAGAATTTTTTGAAATCTATTTATGCTAAAATTTTATGCCCCTCTTCTCAGCACATGTTAAATTTGGCCTTGTAGATATTGATAAGGTTCAACATGGAAGAGTCCTTCACTCTTCTCCGGGTAAAAATGCCCAGTGTTGTTGTGTGTTCAAAGTGATGGTAACAACCAAAATGAAGGCTTATCTTTGATCTTGCTGAGAGAGAGAATATGAATATGAATATGAATATGAATATGAATGACAGCCAATGAATGAATGACAAACATGGGCTGTGTGTGTATCTGGTGGGTTGGTAGATGGCCTTGTGTGACGGTGACCTGCTGATTCATGGTGAAACCTCTGCTCTACCCAAACAGCTGCAGGGGAAAGAGGCATGTGTGGGTTGGCAGGTGGATCATGAATCCGACTGAAGACATTGATCTTCCTTCCTCAGATCATGTGTCCTAAAGGTAGCTGAGGGAATCACAGGCTCAGTCAAACAGCCCATTGCCATCTCAGGTGGTAGGATTTACAAATGAAGCTTCCTCACTTCCATCCAATCCCGTTTGTAAAAGTGACAGCTCTCCTCCTGGATTGCAGTTCACGGCTAGCCTCAGAGAAACAAAGCAAACTGTAGAGATACGTTTGCAGATTGTAAGAAGTCTCTGGTCCATCCATCCTTGAGGGCAGTGTGGCCAGGCTGGGTGCCAGGAGAGGGAGTGATGAACATGCTTCTGCAGGCTTGTCCTTAAAGTAACCCCTGCCCAGAAGATGAGGCTGGTTAGATTGTTTAGTTCCATTTCCCAGTGCTCTTGGCTTGTAGGAACTGCTTATTGTTCTGAGGGCCTAATTGGAACCAGAACTTGATGACTTTCCTGGAGGGGGGAACAGAGTCTGTCATCAATGGTCAATATCCTAATTTATAGCCATCAAGTTAGCTAGGTACCATAAGAATCTTGCATTTTTTGTGGAAGGCATGGAGGCCACTTGGATGCAGGGTCATTTATACTTTTTCTGAACCCCAAGACTTCCCAATTAGATAGCTTCAGCACTTTCTCTAGTGACTGGAAATGGTGTTCTGATGTTTTAATACATGCAGAAACAACACAAAACTAAGTATTTATCAGATTTCACATATTGGATTTACTGAGTCTTAAGTTGAAGGGTTGAATGGCATGAATAATATAGTGGCAGGTCATGGGTTAAAAGACTCTCTTACATTGCATTGCAATAATGTTGAGGGTTTCTCCTAAATGTTTTTATTTTATTGTTTATAGAGTTTCATTTTATTGGTGAAATGTAAACATTTCCAGTTAGACGATACCAACATATTTTCACATGGCTCCATTGGGAGCTGAAGCATCGTCTGTAATTTATGTTGAGAATGCAGCCTAGAAAATTGTGTTCATAATCTTAACAGATAAACTGAAAATGTACTTGATTCTGAAACATTAAACAGAATTTTTTTTTTTGTCTCCTTGAAGGATAATTCGAATTGCGTTTTGGCTTCCCGTGCTGTAGAAATGGCTGTGAGTGTGATTTGTTACTCCATGTTTAATTAGCATGAGGAGGCTTTCCTTTCTGTGTGACGAAATACTGGGTGGCAATGTAGCAGTTAGGAAAATATAGTGGGATGGCAGTTCCACCAGTGTTACTAGGACAAGGCCACAGCCTCGGGAAGCCCCTGAGAGTGGGCGTGGCCTGTTGAGATCCGGGATGATTCGCTTCCTCCCATGGCAGGGCGTCCCATGGCTGGCAAATTGATTGCTAATGGAAAGTGGAGCGTGGCCGTCGCAGTGTGAGCAGAAGTTTGGACCTAGGCATGTGCGTGCTTGTGCTGCATAGGGTGCAGTCTGTCTGAACAGTTTCTGGAACCGGGCCCAAGACCTCTGTGCCCCCACCCCAGAGAATAGTTTTTCAAGGACACACAGACATACTGTGGTTTTGAACCCTGTGGGCTCCATCTGATCTCCCTGTGTTCAGACCAACTGCAATGCTGCCTCCCTGGTGAAGGGGAATGGCTTGAGCTCCTGGATCCGTGTGTGGAAGGAGCTCGGCATCCAGTGTCTTCTGGCCTCTGTGGTCTGAATGAGTGTGCAGTTTCCATCCTTCCATCCATGTTCATCATTAAAACCAACCTTCTCTCCAGCCCCTCTACAGAGGGAACCAGAGAGAAGCTGCATCCGGCCTTTTTTTACTTTCCTCTTGCGCATCTCCTACATGCCATGTTCACTTTAGGTTGACTCAGCATTCGCTCGTCATCCATTGTTGCTACATCCGAGTGACCTGCAAGTTTCCATGGGGGCAAATAAATAAAGGAACACAGCCATGCAGCCACGAAAACTCTCAGTCCCCTTCCCAGCAGACAACAGTGCATGCTGAATGTCCCATCAGACCTTCTAGATGAGGACATCTGTGCAAGTTACAGACACTAATTAGTCCAGTGTCTTGTGGATGAGAAAAAGACCCCAAAGTGGGATAAGTTTTGTTCATTTCTCTTTCTTTCAAGAATTTCCTTTCTGCAAAAGACACGCACTCCAGTGGAATCCGAGGACACTGTGTTCCCCACTCATCCCAGATGGGATCCTTCCCATCTCCATTGTAGGAAAGCATTGGAGGGATAGTCCTTTTGCCTGCTTGGAAGTTTGGTTTAAGGAGGAGACTATTATTTCTCAGTGTAAAGAATTAGGCTGTTAGGTTGAATAATTGTACAGATATGCCCAAGCTGCCAGATGGTGATGCAGCTGGTTGAGGGGAGACGTGGGTGGTATATAAGAAGCAAAGGACTCTCAGCCCCTGAAGCGCCCCACGTGGCCTTCTTAGGGAGGCTCGGTGCATAAAGACTGAAGAAAATGGGATCCTTCACAGAGATTTAATCTGTAGAAGGTCAAACACCTGTTACCTGGTCACCTTAGTCTAAAAAGTAGTGGAGTTTTGTTTTATTTATTTTTTAAAAAAAGCATGATTCTTCCTGAAGCCATCAAAAGGCTCTTTTTAAATTTTTTTCTTTTTTTAATCTAAGAGGAGAACAGATGCTAACAGATGAGATTTCACTGGCTGATTCGTTTGTTTCAGATGCTTGAACGGATGCTTTAGAATTTTCTGCCTGAGCTACGGCACCAAGCTGGTTAGTCGGAAGGCGTTTGTGGCTAAGGCCTTGAAAGGGAAAAGTCTCAAGTGGGCTTATTTCTACTGAAACAGCATTTCGGAAGAAATGCAGGAAAACGCAGACCCAAGGCCCCAGGGAGACCCCTTCCAAGCAAAGCACTCCTCCGGAAGGTGGAAGCGGGGCCGTGGCTCATCTGCGGAGCCAGGGCTGCCTGTCGCGGACGTTGCTCACGGTGGTTCTTTTTCATGAAAGGGAACGCACAAGGCTTAACAGTTTTCCCTTCCAAGCAGAGACTCAGAGAAAGGGAAAGAGTGAGAGAGAGCAAAGGAGGGGGGCAGCTGCCCCACAGAGAAATGAAATGAACACAACTTCCTGATGCTGGCCAGTAAAACAAAAAAATTAAAAAAAAAAATAAAAAGATTAAGCAGACCTACCTAAGGTGGGCATCTGACTCCGTTCCAAAGTCCTGCATCCCTAGTTTGCCCGAACTCCCAAAGACTGGCAGGCCCCTCGGCACTGAGCTGACAGAGTTCCTTTTGTATGCCAGTCCGCCATGACCTCCTGAGCGTTCGGCCCTGCTCTCTGCAGTGACCCAGTCCAGAATGCAGTGAGACGTGGACAGGCCGGGAAGCTCAGATACACCCATTGAAACTAACACATACACCCGCATGCCAAAACCAATCCAGGCAACACCTCAGGTTCCATCTTAACGTGTCCACGGGAAACACCACCACACCCAAACCTCATCTAACATTGTTCGTCTTTAATTCGTGCTCAGAGCCAGTCTGGGGATGCCTCTTTGGAAGCAGTGTGGTCTAGTTTCAAGGACACTGGGAGTCAGGGAACCTGGGTTCTAGTCCCAGCTTCAGCGTTTGCTTGCTGCGTGACCTTGGGCAAGACACTTAACCTCTCTGTGCCTCAGTTTCCCCCATCTGTAAAATGGGGTTAATAATGTCGACCTACCTCACAGGGCTGTTGTGAGGAATAGCTAAGAGATTGTAAAGCACTTTGAACGTATAATTGCTTACTATTAAGACTACAACAATAATAATATCATATGCCTGTTTACTACCAGAACTTTAAGAAATTCTTGTTTTCCTTTGATCTCTTTTCTGTTCTGTACCGTACTTATCCATTGAGAAGGAGAATTCCCCCCTTTTAAAGATATCTAGGCAATGCACAAAGATGTCAACAGAGGTAACTCGGCAGGTTGCATTTTTACATCTTAAGAACAGCCAATTTTTGCCCAAGAAGTTGGTCGATGAGGATATCTGATCTTGAATTCTCAGCTGATTCCAAGTGGTGGTTGGAGAGTCTGTACGTCTGATGCTGAGCCCAAGACACCCGAAGTAGCCAGTTGGGGTTTTAGGGTCAATATTCAAAAGTAGCCATTGTGCAGAGGTTATGGGGAAGAATCTAAAAAACTTGAAGTCTCTTGACTATGTAGAGAAAAGAAGGGCTTATGAGCCCCTTTCACCTGCCCTGATGTGTATAGGCTGGAAGCTGTGTGTGTGTATGAGTGTGTGTGTATACATGTGGGCTGTGCGGAGAGAGGAAGAAAGAACCAGCAGACTCTGGGGCAGCCCTGTTCCAGTAGAAGTGGACACTACTTCTGGGAGCATCCTAGGAGGCTAGGAGCCTCAAAGGCTGGGCAGAGGGTGGGAGTAACGTCACCAGTGGGAAGTATGCTTTCTTCAGGCTTGTCCTAGGCATGACTGGCAGGTCAATTTCAGCCTCAGGGTCTTTTCCAGTGATCTCTTTTTTTTGCCCATGACATTTGCCATTGGCTGCAGTGCTCACTGTACCACAAGGTCTGACCTATCTGGACTTCAGTGGACCTGCTCCCACGTGTTTAAGTGTACAGGCTGTAGTTAATGTCCAGGAGCTGGCAGTAGGTGTTGTGGGTTCTCACAGCACAGTCTGTAGGGCCCCAGGGCAGGTTTTCCTGCTTCATATTGTACCATGTGGTGATGTGGGGGATGGGGTTGAAAGCCAGGAGCACTCCAGTGTGGCTCGGCCACTTGTCAAGATGTTGAAGCACAGCTGCACCTGGTATCAATAGCTGTCACCCTTGCACCTGAGTCTCCTTCCCTATTGCCAGCAGCCCAGACCCTCCCTAGACTGCTCTGTGACCCAGCAACTGCAGGTCTAGTGCCTGGCATTGCAGGGAGCCTCCAGGACCCTGCTGTGATCCACAGACCCACTTCTGCTCTGATTGGGCGGTTCCTGGGTATATTAAATTATGAGGATTTATTAAGAATGTGATGTATCGTCCCTGAAAGGGAAGCTGGTCAGCCGTGTGGGTGCTGGTGAGGAGCTGATCTGCCCTCTGACAGTCCCTCTGTCTGTCTTTGACCCACCTCATGTTGAGTTGATTCAGTGCTGAAGGATGGCATGTGCTTTCCCCCTATCTGTGTCACTCTGTCTCAGAGGGCCAATGTGACTGACCTTCTAGATCCAAGATTCCATACACACAAGCCTCAGCAGAAAGGCCCCAAGCAATTCAAGTGAGTGGCGTTTCCACGTGCCTTCTCCACACTCCTCAAATAAGTAAAAACTGGCAAGTGACCACTTTCTAGATGGGACTTAAGGAGTGGTTTAAATGGAACAAGAGCGTCCTCTCCACTTGGGCCTGGCTGTATTGCTGGGGAACAGCATTGGCTGAGGTTGGTAGCCAAGGCTGGATTGGCAAAGACAGCCAGGAATCGGGAGGGCTCCCTCTAGCTTCAACTCAAAAGGGAAAGAAGGCTTCCTAGACTTGCTTCACAGTCAAACTGCAGAGACACCTCTGTCATTTCTCTTAAAGCCTTGGAAGAAGAGTGTAGCTTCTAGTGTAGAGAAAGTTGTGAGAGATGACTCAAGTTCATTCTTTAGAATCTTCAGAGACACACGCAGCAAACTTGGCACCTCCAGCACCAGCATCCATAGGCTAAACTCTTCAGCTCCTGGATAGAAGATGAGAAGCAGGCTAGTATACTTCATAGGGAAGCAAAGGTGAGATTGGGTATCAGGCTCTTCTCAAATAGCTTACACTCTGGAACAATCCAATTCAAAGTTAAATTAATCCACTGGACTATTGGGTACTACATTCTTTACTCTTTCTGGAAATGGCTAATGGCGCTCCTTTTAGAATAGTAATTATGATGCTCAGCAGTCTTTGAGAAGAAAGAATTACTGAAAGGAAGTTAAGGCAAGGGATGTGATATAGTAGTAAAAGATGGTAATTATCATGGCTTGTTATTTAGTACCATGCACTTAAGTGTCCTTCAGCAGCCCAAATGTGTCATGATTCGATGATCTGTGGGAAGGAGCTGGCTAAGACTTATTAAGTTCCAGGGTGGGTAGAAGTCCAGGTGAGTTCATTCCTCTTGGCATCTCTTAGACCTAGAAGTCATACTGTTTGGGATAGTGGAAAGGCATTGTTCTAAGGCACGGTGGTGAAGGCAACCCACTAAGAAGTGCCACCCATTAAGAAGTGACAAAGGCTGGTCCAGGGAAGCCATGGCAAGGCCATATCTTCCGAGAGTGGAGAAAGGTCCACAGAATAGCAGGAATCCTAGATGGGGTAAAAAAAAATCTGATACCTGAGGAAAAAGTAGTGGTGCCTATTGGAGGATAGATTGGTCAGCAGTTATCGAACTTTTTGGTCTTAGGACCCTTTAAATATTGAAGACCCTGTGGGTCAATATTTACTGTCTTAGAAATTAAAACTGAGGAGTTTTTAAAACAAGAATATGCAAGCACAAAGACACCAGGGTGATGACATCATGCATCAGGTAGCCTTTGGAAACCTCACTATATCCTCATGAGAGGCTGAGAGTGTACAAGGCAAAGAACATCCTGGTCGCATTATGCAAATCACAGTGACCTCATGGACCCCTGAAGGTGTCTCGGGATGCCCCAAGGTCCCTGGAGCACACTTGAGAACTGCTGCTCTTGGGGAATGCTACTCAGTCCCCCTTAAAGTCAGAGGGTGCTGGAGCCTTTTAATCATCTCCCTTGTGAAAGAGGCTCCTGTGCAGTGCTACTGCCCTAACTAGAGCCCTTCTATCCCTCCAGCCCCTTCCCAGTCTCAGCCTGCTCCCCCAAGGCATGGAGCTGCCTGTGTCCCTGTGCCTGTGTGTTTGCCTAGCATGGCCAAGTCTTCCTGCCTGTGCTGATCGTGGGTGTGACGGTCTGAATTAGGGCAGCATAGAAGGTGTTTTTAAAAATTGGCTCCCTAAGTGCACCACTGGGACCAAGGATGTGTGCCAAGCAGGATCCATTTCAGGGATAACTCGTGATCGTTTGTCATCTCCAGAATGACTTAGGAATATAAGAGCTCTTCTAGGGTAGTCAAAAGAGGGTTAGGCTTGAGCAGGTGGCACCCCACAGTTGTGATTATAGGTGAGTAAGTGTGTGATTCAGACTGGAATCCAGCAGTCTTTCCCAGTAGGCGCAGTGACTTTGCCTGGGTGGTAGTCGAGATGGGAGGTTTGGGAGAGGTGAGGCAGCGCAGTGTCACAGGAGGAACAGGCCTAGGAGCCGAGTCCTCAGTGAGCCTTTGACTTATTCGGGCACATAATTTCACCACATGGGAGTAACCCTGGCTCTCCCTTCCTCCAGAATCTAGTGGAATATTTGTACATAAGCTCACCATGACTGGTATAAAGATGCTACCAGAATAGAAGTTGTGATTTACAGCTTCTGCTAAGCCTAAACTTTACAGAGTGCCTTGTTATCGGGAAAGTGGCAAGAAATTCTGTTATTAAAATTGCAACAGAATCAGATTCTTGATTGCAGCAAGAATCAAGGCGGTACTGAAACAGCTCTCAGATCGTGTGCAGAGAAAGATCATAGATTAGGTAATTTTTAAAAAATTTCCTTTATCTTGCCAAGTGATGAGAACAGTGCAATCCCTAGGGGAGCTCTTGGGGTCATGTTACCCCTGACTTTTCAGTGATGGTTGGAATCACTGTGGGTGACTAACAGAGCGCCAGGATTCCGACCCTTTATATCTGACATAAGGACCATTCACAATGGACACAAAGGCCACTATCACATTTTCCCTGGAGGAGGGTGCTGACAAAATGAGGGGTGTGCCCACGTGTGATGTGCTGAAGAGGCGGACGGCAGCTTGCAGATGAGCAGGTTTATTCCATAAGAACTTAGTCTTATTCTGCCTTCTAATGGAGCGAGGCTAGAAAAGGTCCCCTCTCATTGGATATGGACCAAATCCTGCTGAAGGGTTAACCAGAACTTGTCACCAGTGAGACGCCTGTGTGCAGGGCCAGCCTACACTAAGTGCAGCCCACCTGTGATGGGGAACAGGCTCTGCTAGGGTAGGTTTCTTTGGCTGGAGTCTGAAAGCCTGGCACTTGTATCCTGAAGATGAATGGCCTGGCTCAGTCCTGACTAGAGACGTGCATCTCTTATCTCCACTGCTACAGTGTAGGTCCAGGGTGGGGCTCCGGGCACTTCTGCATGCTTGCTGTAGCGCTGTGAGGGCTGGCAGATGGCTGGTGTGTCTAACGGAGCTAGCTTAGGGACATAGGCAGCAAAAGCATTGCAAATACATCCAGGCAGGAGAAACTTAACACTAAAAGTGGGCAGGAGAATGGAAGGTAAATGGGTGTTCATATTTGATGTCAAAATGTTATCATGTTATGCTATTCAGAAGTGTTTAGAGAGATTTTAGTTTTTTGGTAAATTAATCATTAATCGAGTATGAAATTCCAATAAATGGTGTCTAAAATTTCAAGCAGCAGTCTACAGGCAAAGCGCCAACATTTCTTTTTTAAAAAAATATTTATAACATCTAGCATTTTAAAATCAACCAGAAACTAGTCTTGATTCTGTTTAATATTTTCTAAGATTGGACATCTTAAAATAAGTCAATGTTTATATTTTATAGCAATTCTGTATTTCTTCAAAACCATATTTCTGCTGTGATGTTAATGGAATGACTTAATATGGCTTTAATTGTGTTGGTTTAAGTGCTAATGACCACTTTTCAAATTAAAATAGTATTTTGCTGATAGAGATAGACACAGATATGAAATATGAAAGAATAGATAATTTTACCGATTGTAAAGTGTCTATCCCAAGAAAAAAATGTTCTTTTTTTTAGGGCTGTGGAAAAGTAATTTTTTCAAGAGTCTAAGATAGTTTTCTGTATTTCTGGGGATTGGAACTTGTGCCTGTGGAATTTTGGGAGCAGCCTAAGCGCTACCTTTTAGCTTGATATGTGTGCTAGAAAAACTTCAGTACCATGTTTTGTGATATGTAATAAATTCAGGGTGCTGTGCTTAAGCTTCATGTCAACTCTAGTTTGGGAACATCTGTTTCCCTCACTCCCAGTCTTGGGGGACAGCCTGACCTAGCCCTACCCAGATCACATGTGAAAGAGTAGAGTCAGTCTCTGACTCTGGCGAAGTGTGTATTTGCCTGCCTGAAGCAAGCAGAATATAATCATGATTTCTGATTCTCTGCTTCTGTGTCTGGGAAGAGCGATGCTTTCTCTCCTCCTCTAACGTCTCTTTATAAGTATGTTGTCATTATTTGTCTTTGGAAGTGGCAACTTGGGCCACCTTTCAACCTTTTCCATGATTTATGTTGCAAACAAATTCTCTGTCCCATGTCTGTTCATTGCACTATCTTGTCGACTGAATCCTAATCTTGTGTATCACTGAAGATGTGCTGGAGACAGTTTTGTTTCTATTATGCAATTGTGTTATATGTGTATTTCAGTGAAATGTCAACCCGTCAACAGAGGATGATGTTAAAAATTATCCAAATAAATAGTTTTCTATTTCTTTTAATCAGACCTAGTCCAATCAGTTAAATGACAGTAAATAGGATTATCTGTTATTTAAACTTGGGAGCATTCCTGGCCCCTACTGCCTTGTAACGTGGATTAATGTACCAAATTTATGTGGAGGTGTCAACTTGAGTGCATTATAACCTATGTTTATTTTGTGGAAGCAACAGCAGATGTCTCAAACCTTATCTTTTTGTTTGGGAGCCTCAGATATGTTACAGACTTTTCTTCCTAGTAGATCCAAAAGCATAAGTAAAACCCTTGCTTAGTTCATCATCCCTTGACAATTTACCCTAGGAAGCTCTGAATGAATGAACTGCAGGCTATTTCATACTGCTGGCTGTGACCTTTTTTCACATTTCTGCAGCTTTGCTATGTAAGAGCTTTTACCAGCATAACATGACAGTTGCCTTCTTGATGTTTCCATGAGAGAACGGCAGGTGGGTCCACCTTAGAACCAAATGACTTCCCAGGCTCAGATAAGAAAACTCAGGCATTCTGAGAGCGAGAGAGAGAGAGAGAGAGCGAGAGAGAGAGAGAGCGAGAGAGAGAGAGAGAGAGAGAGAGAGAGAGAGAGAGTGTGAGAGTGTGTGTGCGCGCGTATACGTGTATGCATAAGCATACCTACATGTGCATGTGTGTACATACATGCATCCTGAGCCTGTGATCAGAGGGACAGGAGAATGAGAAGCAGGCTCACTGACCACACGAAGAGCTGTCTTGGTTTGACCTGGGACATGACTGTCTGTCTCCTATAAGATCCCAGCATTCCTAGCCAGGAAGCTTAAAGCTTTCATTCCAGGCTCTTCCTTCACCCTCAGAATTCACTAAATGGAAAGATCTGCTTGCTCTTCACAGAATAGTTCAAATCAAACCCAGCCTGGTGCCATTTTTAGCAGAATTGTCTCAAAGGCTGGGTGGGTGCTTTTATGCACAGGCTATTTTTATAAGGGCCTCTTGGGAAGTTCCTGTGTGACTTTACATTCTAAATTAATACCACCGGCACTGGCATTGGCAACTGCATGGGACCAGTTTTGAGCATCCACAAACAGTGGCACCCAGGCCTAATGGATCTGGCCAGACTGCAGCCACCTCCCTAGCCACTGCTGGACATCTCTTCTACCATGTGCACATCTCAGGGTTGGTCATCATGCCTCTCTGTCCCTGCCACAGCTGCCCACATGCTACCAGGTGTTGTGGAGGAAGGACAGGGAAGCCATCGCCTCCCCTCAGGACCCGTCACTTAGCCCAGTTTTCCTTTGCAGACCACCCTGAGGTTGAAGCATTTGCCTCACAGCCAATGTCTTAGCTGTGTTCCAGGCCTTTATGGTTATGAAGCTGTGGTCAGACTGCTGATGAGTGAGGAGGGGCTGCCTGGATACAGGACCCTAGACCCAGGGCAGAGAGGACATGCCTCCTTCAGATGCAGGTCTTTTTGTGGAGGAGGATAAAGTTGCCATACAGTCCCTATTAGTCTTTAACTCAGCATACTGTTTTTCTTCAAATTGGTGGTCAAAACACCATAATTCTCTCAGTCAGAGCAATACCGTCTCCCATGTCCCATGCATAAGCATCCTGAAATGCTTCCCTAATGAAGTCGTGAACGATGGAAGGGCTTCTCCTGGGACCTGTCCCAACAGAGCAGGGACCAGAGTGAGGAAGGCAGCTGTGGGGGCCACAGGGGAGATGCAGAGTGTCTGTGAGGGGCCCAGAAGGGTCTCCCGGTAGGGTCTTCCGGTGGGTCTTGCACGCCCTGCAAAGGCTGATGAGCCACTTTCAATTTGTTGTGGTCTTCAAAAAGCAGACCCCGTCACCTCACATTGGTGAGTTCTCAGCCTGCACACAGGCCACAGGCCAGGGTATCCCGATAACCATGGCGGCCGGGTCTGTGTGTGTGTCAGTCTACTCTGTCATGGTCTGAGTGCGCTGGTGGTTGCAGTATGTTGTGTCACTCACTTGTTCATGGCTTTTAGCAGAACCAGTGGCCTGAGGGCTGCTCGGTCTGCTTGTGCCTCTGGCGCCTACCCCTAGGCTTCCTCGTCCTAGATGCAGCAAGGGAGTCCACATCACCCTTCCTTTAGAATGGCCAGGCTGTGCTCCTTGCCCTCCTCTGGGCTTGGAGAGAGAGGGCTCTTGTGGGCGAGCCTACTGAAGATTGTCATTGAGACAGGGGCATAAGCTCTTGGCCTGGCAGACCCTAGCACTAGTAACCAGGTGGTGTTCCCTGGAAGTGGGGGAATTTGCAAAGGAGGTGACTGGTTTGCAAGCCTCAGGCATCCTACCTAGGACCATCTTGACCATCTGGATGCCTGACCATACCAACACCCTTTAGACTGCCTTCAGTGACATCAGTCAGTGCCCTGGATTAGCTCTTGGAGAAGCCTTATTCCCCTCTGCTGAATCACGCAGGAGCAAAGCCAGGACCCAGGCTGGCCCCAGGGCCCACGTGTGGTCTAACCTGTTCTGCCATTTTCATTGATCTAGGCGGGATTAAGGACACTGCATGACATTGGGCCAGAAATCCGGCGTGCTATATCGTGTGATTTGCAAGATGACGAGCCTGAGGAAGCAAAACGAGAAGAAGAAGATGATGTATTCAAAGTAATTATTCCACGCCTAGCTACACACTGGCCACCTGGAAATAGCAGGGCAGGACTCCAGTTGGGGCAGTTAATGATCCACAGAAGAGTCTGGAGAATGCAGCCCAGCCCCGGGTCTAGAGGGGCTTTCAGACCACACCCCCCTCCTACAGACCCTCCCCATGCATCAGCACCTCTTCTAGGGCCAGGCCAGCTCCTTCCCTGAGCTTACCTACCTTCCCCTCATTGTCTGCTTCTGAGGAGCTCGGCCACAGCCACTGGCCATGTGGATGAGTGTCCTGGGTCCTTCAGGAAGCTTCCCATGCTACCCTCCTCCTTCCCGGGCCAGTTCTTTGATCTACCAGCCGGCCCTCAGCCCCCCAGCCTAGACAGCCAGCCCAGCTGGGTATAAGTCACCTCAACTTGGAGCAACTGGAAGAGCACACTCGAGTGACAGCCGACAGCTTGCTCCCCCGCTCAGGAAATCGGTAACCTTCCTCATCTCGGGGGAACCAACTGCCACACAGTCACATTCACCCTGATCATTGAGACACTCAGATTGTTTTACAGGGATCCTACAGAACTTGCCTAGAATTTGTTTTTCATGTAGAAAAAGTTACCTAACATAGCTAGTCTGCATCAAATACTTGTTAAATTACCTGGTGTTGTCTCCCATTATTTTGCAGAGAAATGGTGCCCTGCTTGGAAACCATGTCAATCATGTTAATAGTGATAGGAGAGATTCCCTTCAGCAGACCAATACCACCCACCGTCCCCTGCATGTCCAAAGGCCTTCAATTCCACCTGCAAGTGATACTGAGAAACCGCTGTTTCCTCCAGCAGGAAATTCGGTGTGTCATAACCATCATAACCATAATTCCATAGGAAAGCAAGTTCCCACCTCAACAAATGCCAATCTCAATAATGCCAATATGTCCAAAGCTGCCCATGGAAAGCGGCCCAGCATTGGGAACCTTGAGCATGTGTCTGAAAATGGGCATCATTCTTCCCACAAGCATGACCGGGAGCCTCAAAGAAGGTCCAGTGTTAAAAGGTAACCTTGACGGTGTGTTTGCACTTGCTGATGTGGTGCCCTTGTTGTGTCTGGTTCCACAGAGCAAGGTGGCTCTGTCCTCCATGCTCTGGGGCATGGAGGAGGTTCCCCATAGGCATTGTGTCAGGATCTGTGAGAGTCCTCCAGGACATTGCCACCTTGGACACTTTCCACATGATGAACCTCAAGGATAAGGGCCATGTGCCATCTTACATCCTGTAAGGGGGGCCGAGGGGCTTTAAAACACCAGCAGCCACAAAATCCACCCTCCCAATTGTGCTCACATACTCTGCAACAGGGGTTGGTGGATTTTTTCTCTGAAGGGTCAGTGAGTCTGTATTTTTAGGCTTTGAGGACCATACAGTCTTGCAACTTCTCAGCTCTGCCGTTGCAGTGTGATATGTAAGTGAATGGGTGCGAGGCTGTGTCCCGGTAAAATTTCCCCTGTGGTCACTGGAATTTGAACTTCATGTATTCATATGGTGAAATCTTTTTTGTCTTTGGATTTTATTTTTTCAATCCTTTATAAAAACCGTTCCTGGCCCATGGGTCATAGACCAGGTGGCGGCCATATATGCATGGTGAATCGTGATTGCTAACCCTTGCTCTAGGAGGTGGCTTGATATTTGCATAGTAAATTTGGTTGGAAATTAACTTTTATCTTCTCCCTCCTTCCCATGTTATGCCTTTCCCGGATAGAACCCGCTATTATGAAACTTACATTAGGTATGTGCTCATTACCTGTGTTTCTGTGTTAAATACTGTGATGGTATGTTACCAGTTGGCCTCTCTGAGTGCTGAGGAATAAGAAACATCTTTTTTCAGCCATCCTATTAAAGGTTTTCATGATTCATGGCTGGGGACTCAGAGGTCAGAAGTCGTTGTTTCTAAGCAAAGGCACCTTCAGATCCATATCTGTGTTGACCCTGTTGCCATCCAAGGACTGGTATCCACACACAAGGTGCACCCCATGGGCTGGATCCTGCAGGCTTCATGATGGCACTAGGAGCATTCAGTGTACATTTATGGGGGCCCCAGCCTGTATGGCTGGAAGCTCTGGCTGCTCTCTGAGGTCAAGCTTCTCATGGGTGCTTTGCAGCATGACCCAAACCTCCTGAAGATCAGGAATGGGATCTTGTCATTTTCCCTGTAGCCCTCGAGATATGTGTAGTATTTTCCACTCCACACGTATTGACCTGAGTTGAATTGTGGACAGAATGTTCATTTTGTTGGGGTCGGGGGTAGCATAGGTCTTCTAGTGTCGTGTTATCAAGAGAAGTCGGGAGCCACGTGGGCCCAAGCAGGGCGCAAGAAAGTGCGGAAGTCTGAGGAAGCACCATCATTCCCTTGGAGTGAGGATCAATGTAACCA